TGCAGAGAGGTCGGCAAAGAGTGTTCACAGTGTGCAGGCACTTTGGACGTCGTGCAACAGTCAAATATTGATTGGACGTCGTGGCACTTGGACGTCGTGCAACTGGTAGAGGCTTTGGACGTGGTGCAAATGATAGTTTTTTACAATTCTACAGTGCGCTGTTTCACGACGTCCAAGTGCCACGACGTCCAAAGCTTGTAGAAAGACTATATTTTTGGCAGTTACTGTACTTTTGGACGTCGTGGCACTTGGACGTCGTGCAACAACTCAAAAATTATGTTTTGGACGTCGTGGCACTGAAAAAATATTATTGGACGTCGTGGCACTTGGACGTCGTGCAACACTCCCTTTTTTATAAAGTGAGACAGTAGCTGCAAATTATTGATGAAAAGCTATTCTTACAAATAGTTTTCTGACTCTTTTTCTAACTTTATAAATGGATTATAGTCTGTATTAGGGATGAGCATTGATAGGTCCAGTTACATCGTCACAAAAACTTTGACGTTTTCAGTACCAAAACATTGATAATTGACGGTTTTTCGTTTTGTGTTTTTGTCTGATTTTTTGCTTCAGCTAATCAATCAAGCTAGACTTTCTACATTGGCAGTTTTTCTTTCACATTTGCAATTGATTATGCTGGAGCAGGAATGCTGCACCTGAAATTTATTACAAATAAATTGATTTGGCAGCATTTAGAATTTAGAACACGCACATCAACAATGTAAATATAGTTATCTCATTCTCACTCTACTCTTGTATAAGTCTAGTACAGTTAAGAATATTTTTGGATTTTTTATTTTATCTCCCTTTCAATGGAATAATTAGTAATTATAACAGCACAACCTCTTGTCCAACATCCAAATTTCCATTAATATGCAATACAATCAGCTAGGGGTAAACGTTGACATTTCAATAGTTGGCCAAAAACATCCTACCAAACCTACCATCAATGTTTCGGAAACATCGGCTATCGATGCTCATCTGAGGCAGGTTCCAACATACAAAGGATTTCATTACCGTATTTATTATATATTTTAAGCCTCCGGATTACAATATATATAAATTGATGTAAATGCCTGCTTCCTTGTAATCCAAATTGTTGCTAGAGTCGCAACTTAACATTCACAAAGTCATCTTCAGGGATTAAAGGATGTCATAATCATCTCACCAGAATGTCGTTAATTCACATATAGTACATAGATAGACGCACATTGAAAGAATAAAACAGCACATTTTAATTTTTAACACTATTAGGCCGGCCACACACAGAACCAGGCGGGTCGGGGCGCGACAGGGCACGACGAGACGCCTGACTTAAGCCCTGTCTTGTTGCTGTCACACACAGAATGAGGCAGTGCACGTCAAGTAAAATGTTTAGCCCCCATAAACCTGAAAATTAATATAAGATTTTTTTATTTCTGAGCCTTGAGCCGATTTAGCCAACTTTTAAATTTGACTTTATACTTGGGAGCAGAATAGAAAAAAAAAATTCAAAGTCATACCTCCAGAGGAGTGATTTTTGAAACCCTTAAGATATGAACGTTGGCCCTCTTTTTCCTCAGTTATCAATACCAAGATAAATTATTAGTTATTCAACCACTGTAGTAATATCATCCACTGCATAGTCTTATCAAAGGGTGTAATCTTTGGTCGTATAGACTGTTACAGTCTTGTATGTAAATTGTATTAGTTGTAAAATAATCCTTATCAAAATTAGCCGGAAAGGGAATAAATGACATGACCACGCATGCGCAGAAAGTTCTGCCCGGCAGTGACTTGCCTCGGGGTATAATTGTGGAGACCTTCGCATTTTGCCCTGAGGGCGCCCGGGGGCGTCTTTTCGACGTGCCCTGCCTCGCCCGGTCCTGTGTGTGGAGCTCCATAAGCGCCCGTGCAATTCCCGTCGCACAAGACGGCCCGGGACAAAATGCCCTGTTGCCTTGCCTGGTTCTGTGTGTGGCCGGCCTTAACGGTACAGGGGGGCAGGGGTCCAGATGGATGCAGCATAAAGGGTTGTGATGCTAGGATCATCCCGATCATCTATAATCATGACGCATTGCTAGGGTCGTGATGCATTGCTGGGATTGTGACACATCGGTGGTTTTATGGCACATCATTCCCCATACCGTCGTTGTTGCCATTTTTAAATGTACCATTTTATTGTTTCAATGCTCGTGTAAGTTTGTCTATGTACTACATATGTGATCTACCAACTGATGACTTGATTACAACATCCTTTCACACCTGAAGATGATTTTTTGAAAGCTACACATTCTGCTACAGTTGCTAACACAAAAAGTTGAAAGTTGAAAATTACACCAAATTATTGCTAGCCGTGACGCTAGCAACAATCTAAAAAAAAATTGTATAACATCACAGCAGGTACTTACACCAATTCATAAATACAGTGATATGTTAACTTAAGTAAATTTTGAAATATCTTAAATGATTGATACTGTGCATTTACTTTTTGAAAAGACTTGGGGAAAAGTATAAGATTTGGGCATTTTGATACATAATATTACAAGGACTTGTAAAAAAGCAATTTATTAACCACCAACACAGCACCGATTTCATCTGATAACTAAAAGTAATAAAACACACTACTGCTTATTTGTCTTTTTAGTTTAGTTTATCATAAGTAGTTTATAGACATTTGTATTTAATTTGTGATTTAAATTAAGAACTTAAAGCTAATAATAATATAGCATTAATAAATAAAGAATGAGTATATACCTTTTTTAGATATAAAAATTATTTTTTGAAATCCAATCAATGGCAATCTTGATAAAAGCACAATTGATGAATGATGCCTTGAACTTGATTGCGATTTTCTTAGGCTATAAACTTTTGATTTGATAACAATCTTTTTAAATTATGAAACCCTTTTGAGAACAACTTCCTTGAGTATGATAGTTATTAGAACACTGATAAAGAAAACGGTTGAAAACCGGATTTGTAAACACTAAACTGTTTGTACATTTTATAATTTTTGTATAAGTAAGCACTCACTTTTTATAAAAAAAATCAAAAGGTATAAACTATTGCAGAATTAATTTTTATATTCAATTGTAATGACGTAGCTCTCCTTTATTCTTTCATAACCTACTATAGGAAAACTATAAATAAAGGGTGAGGCAGTGAAACGGCACAATTCCGATACCAGCTGACAAGGAATTGAGGGCTATTAGAGTACGGGGAAAATTACCATAGGCATCTAGAATAGTGGGAATTTCAGTAGCCATGGAGCGTTTGACGAGTGCACAATACACATTTGCTGTAAAGGCATATTACAAGAACGTGGATATTATGGTTTGTGCTCAGCGCACTTTCCGTTGTAAGATCAGACTATCGCCGCAGGCTCTTGTGCCATCAAGGAAAGCTATCCTCCATTAGGTGAATAACTTTGAAGCCACTGCTAGCACAACAAAGCGCTATAAAACGATTGCAGACGTTAAACGCAAAAAAGTGATGGGCTGATTTCAATTCATAATTCAACAATAAGTGCAAAACCAAATCGCCATTTTACTGACACTGTATTAAAAAAAATTATTTTTAAGGTGAAACATTTATTTCCGCTCATGTACTTAGGATTTATGTTAAAACAACTAGGTATCCTTTTTTCTAAATGAATTATTTGTGATTTTTCAAAATCGTGCCATTTCACTGCCTCACCCAATACATAAAATTATATAAGTAAAGACTTATTACTAATGATAGTTTAAATGAGGTACAAATCACAAAATATGAGTAGTCCAGGAGTAACAACTGTAGGCATTCACATGTATTGAATAAGCCTACTGATACATTCATTCAGTGAACAATCCGGGTTTGGTTCTTTTAACAAGATCACAACTCTACAGTTGTAGTTACTAATAGTAACTGATACTTCAAGTTGGGTGTTATTTAACGTAATGGAATAAAATATACAATTAATTAATGAAGTTTCACATGTGTGACATTTAAGTTCAAATATAGCAAACTGTTTTACTTAAATATTAAACATATCATTCCTATGCGTTTCATCTTAAATCATCCTGTATAACGAAAGTTTAGGGTCTTTAGTGCATATCTATATCTATAAAAGAGGAACTATGTATGTGTGTGTGTGTGTGTGTATATACGTTATGGACTCCGAAACCGCTCGACAGATTCTAATGAAACTTTCAGGCATTATTAAGCATCTTTCAAGGATGGTTCGAGTGAAGTTTGGTGCAGATCTGTTAAACTGCCCTAGAGGGTTTTAAGTGGGCCAATGTCAGACTTTTTGATCCACAATGTTTACAAATAAATATAATTTAAAAGCAGATGTTTACTTTCACCAACTGTTTTGTAGGTTTGAATAATCACAACATTCTGTATTAGCATTAGTCGTGATTTGAAATAGTGCCACAGTGTTTCTACAGATTGCAGCACAGAAAACTATTTTACTTTTGAATAAGTCCAAATGTATTAAACCCCAATCGCAGCACACCTGTGCACTTAACAATAAAAAAATATAAAAATATAAACAATAAAACATATAAACCGTTATCAAAGTACTGTATGATAAACAATAAAAGGGATGACTTTTTTTAAATTTATGACAACAGCAAATTTGCAACCAAAAGGTGAGTGAGCGTAGCGAACGAACATCAACCCGGAGGCGAGTAAGCGTAGCGAACGAGCTAACCTGAAAACAAGTGAGCGCAGCGAACGATTTCCAACCTGAAGGTGAGTGAGCGTAGCGATCGTACTTCAACCAGGACGTGATTGAGCCATGCGAATACTTATGAAGTTAAGCGGGGCAAAGCCCGCGGGTACAGCTAGTTTAATCTAAAAACAGAAGAAAACTATGCCTAATATTTTTCTGTGTTGTAAGAGATTTATCTATCTAAGAACAGAAAACATACTACTATAACCCAGAATGCCAACCGCATGGTAAAAGCGTTAAGTACTTTGAGAGAGCTTTGCCCGTCAATTCGTAGGCATAGCGCCACCAGTGTTGCTACTCAGCATAGCAACACTGGTGGCACTGCCTACAAATTGACGGGCAAAGCTCTCTCAAAGTACTTAATGCTTTTACCATGCGGTTGGCATTCTGGGTTATAGTAGCATGTTTTCTGTGATCTAAGGCACTAAGTGTGTACTTAAGATGTGTAAGTGATGTTTTCTAGAAAGTATAAACTAATTTAAAACCGTAATTCGGTCTAGAACTGAGAGGTAAGTTTAAACAAATTCAATAAATAAATATGTTCTGATATTTTGACTAAACTAGTATACTTTTTAAACTATTGTTAGCATGCACCTATGCACAAAAATGTAAGATTAATTAGCATGTAAGGTTTTATTTAACAACTTAAACACTTGTAGGCTAAAAAATAATAAAATAATATTTTTTTAAACATATTTTGAATAAAAGAGGCAATTTTATGTTAAAAAATAATGAAATAAGTAATAATATAAGTCAAGCTTATAAAAATTATGTAAATCATAAAAGACTAATAGTTAGTTAATAAATAAATAAAATATTTTATACAATTAATATCACATTTAAATTTCTACTACACAAGTTTTCTACTTTTCCGTCTTCTATTTGAGTATTAGTACTAATAACCCCATATGACAGTTGTTTTCAAAAGAAGTCTGAATTAATATCGATTCAACCTTCGCTAGTTTCTGGCTTTCCTCATCAACTTCCAATACCTTTTTGGGTTGAATTAAAATCAGGTTGTCTTTTTTGTTAATATTTGTCATTGTGCAGTTTTCACCATTGATTCTCAACCCTGTCAAAGTTGCGGCTTTATCCCAGTAGTAGTCGTCAGACAGTTTTTTCTCTCCCAGAGGCCCACAGAACGTGTAGATGCTGCTTTGGTTGGTTTGCAAGTACGCCAATCGGGGATTACTCTCTTCTGTTCTTGGTAAGTTTTCATATAATTCGTCAATGTTACCCAAGAAGTCAGGATGGTTCACCTTGTCCAAGGCTTTGACAAAGAAGTGTTGACATTTGTTCCCCTGAATGCCATAAGTTTTATCAAATCCTTCTTTATCGAAATTCGGTTCCGAGCTCTTAGAATCTAGTTCATTTTCATACATTTCTTTTTCCTCTCTGAACTGTGCAATGATGCAGTCACAGTAAAACTTGAACCTGTTTAAAAACTCTTGATCAGTTGTGTTACCATGAGATGCGGAAAATGCTCTAGCAAAAGTCATTAGGTTTCTGTGCTCGTGAGAATCACTGCTGATGCCACAGAACTCTATAACTCTGTCGACCTCTTCACACATTTGCCGAGGAATTTCCAGATTTGTTATAGCTTGTTTAGGCAATGCATATTGCCAGTAAGCTATCTCAAATGTATTTTTTACCTTTTCAATGACATTCATAATAACGTTGTGGTATCTTTTCCAAATCTTTTGCAGAATTAATGAGATCTCGACACCTAATTTTCCCCAACTGATCGACCCTGATTCTTTTTTAGACAAGAGAGAAACAATTGCTAGTATCACTGATTCGAGATCCTCCAGTTTTATATCGGGGCAAAACGCAGATTGAATACCTAACACAAGCTGACGAAGGACGTTGTAAGTAGTCGCGTCGTTAAACTCCGTAATATCTTTGATTACACGGAACGATGCATTTTCCCTCATATTGAACAAGTTGGTTAAATCTGAACAGGCTAGTTCCTCAATCAGTCTACTGGCTAAGTCGTATGTCACCAATGCATTGAGGAAGAAGAAGCACGCAGAAGTAAATTCTACAATATCAATCATCTCCAAAGTTCCATTGATCCTCTTCATGACCACAGTTATGATACCGTTGACAACCCCGATCCCACTTACTGCTAGCGAAGAGACGTTGAGAATCCTCAAAGTCATGATCCCAGCTCTGCTAATGGCAGATTCTGTTGCGACCACACCTTTAGCGATAGCAGTTGTACCAATTGAAGCCATTCCAACCATAGAGCCAGCCAGACTCAACCAAGCACTTCTCGAGTCCGGATTCTTCAGTCCGAGACTTTCTTTGTGTTTCTTGATGTCATGCAAACGGTAGACGTTCCTGGCTGTTTCGTAAGTTCCAGAAGCAAACACTGTAGCAGTGGCACCCCAGACAAAAGGGGTAGCAATAGGTATTGCGAGGGAAGCTAACGTTACTCCTGTAGCTCCGACTAGCAACAATGTGCTCGACACATCCAACCCTGTAAACACAGCAGTGCTCGTGTCACAAGCCGGTGATTGTCCAAACTGGATGTTGACGATTCCATCTCTCACGGAATACACTCCGTCCATGGGATAGCAAACATCACATTTAGGAAGTTTGTTTTTCTTCAGAAAGCCCTCCCAACTCTCATAAACCCTAGGCTTGGGGTCAACAAAGATATGACTGTCCAATTTAGGTTTACCTTCGTCAAATGTCGGCACCCTAAATAGGATTTGAATGCCCTCGTCGTTCTTCTTGTTACGTAAGCGAAGCACAACATATAGACAAGAGATATAGTACAGCCCATCTTCGGGACTTTGCAATGATTTAATTTTATCACAGATAAGTTTGATGTGGTAGGTTTGACCCTTTGTATATTTTGATGTTTTGGTCTCCTTGTCCACTTCGCTGGGAAAGTTGTACAAAGCGTAGCCAATCTTATTCTCGAGCTGCTCCGAGGTCACATGATCGTACACTCGATCTCCCAGGCTGTTGCAGCAACTCTGTTGGTAGCTTCTTGCTCTCCTCTTCCACAGTTTCAGATCCTCGTCCATCTGGAACAAAACAATTTATGTTTATGATATGCAGAACAAGTAAAATGGAAAAATAATGTTAGTAAAGCATATTTTTGGAAAAAATGTTGCAACCATAAGCCCATTCTGAACATGTATGCTGGAAAAAACATTTCAAATGTAACAAAAATGTCTCTCATAACCTTTTGTTTACTGGATCAACATCAAACAAAGGTTAACTGTATGAAGGACCGTGAGGTCTTAAGTTTGCCTCAATAAAGAAGGATCCCTTGTATCATCGGTGTCGTAACCATGCCATCTTTCAATTACACAGTATTCTGCTATTCTGTTTAGTCAAAAACCAAAACACCATACCTTAGATCAGTTTGGTTCTAAAGTTACAATAATTGTTTGTGTCTGGCGTGAAGGCAAATTTTTATCAGGAAAGTTTAACAGGTGGTCTTTTTTTTTCAACATCTTAGTGACCAGTCTGAAGTCCAAATACATCACTATTAACTCTACAGTAACTACTCATTCAGTGTTGATAAGTATTTCATGTATCACCAGCATTTACCATAATGTAACAATGGTACAGAATATTAAATCTAATGTGGTCAGTAATTTTAAGTGCATTGATGTTCAAAACACCTATTGTACTATGCAATTCAGAATATAATACAGCAGTATTCTCTGATGAATCAATAAATACGATAGCAATTTGATCAGTTAGAAACCGTAATTACAGGATGAGAGGTTAATGACCTTGAATCTAACTGCAATGACAATGGCGGAGTTAATAGCTAACTTGTATAAGCAATTGGCTAACTGATGTCAAATTGTTACAAGCTTTTAAACCTCACAGTATTTAAAACTAAACTGTTTAACTAGTGTTAGGTACGCTTTTTAATGTTTTAACTCAACTATTAACATGCCAAAAGTATAAAGTATAAGTTTAAGATAAACTATCAAAATTGTTGTTATTTAATCTTTTTATCAATAGGCCTATCGGGTGCAAAGAGAAACCTTCCAAATTACAGTTCATTATAAATTAAACAAATTTAAAAAATTAAGAATTTACCAATTTAGTTTCCATTTTATCAAAGATAAGGACATTTATCATCGTAGAAATTTAATAAAAATCATAAAAGGTTACTGACTCCAGTCAAAAAATGTGGTTTTAATCCCGAGACAAAAGAGAAGTCTAGGCCTATCCTTACAAATCCACATTTTTTAGTTAGTTTTGATAGCCCCAAGATAGCATTGTCGGACCATTTGACAAATAAAGGTTAAAAAATACACACCAAAAATTAAAAAAAAAAATTTTTTTATTTTTTTTTTAATGTTACTAACTGCTGTACCCATGCTTTGCAACTGGAAAAGGGCGTGGAAGAGAAGAATTAATTCTTTTTCACCACACTATGATGTTTTTGGCTGTATTACATACGTTAATTGGTGGCTGAAAGTTACGTGGCCAGCTGTCATCGTAATTTGGGGACCGAGCAGGTTTTTACATCCTGGGGCCGCAAAATCAGCTGTCCGCTTGCATATTAATTACACAAATAGTATCCATAGCATTGAAATAGAATTGTTTTATTTTCATATAACCTTAAAGTTGCATTGACTATAGGTTTTCATTATTATTGTGAATAGTAGTAGTGTGGGGAAAAATAGTGTTCGTACCACGGACCAAAAATGGTTTTGCAGCTCTCGATCGATTTTGTCTCGAACTTATAAACTATCTCGAGCCGGCAAAACCTCGTTTTCGGCCCTAGGTACGAAATATACTATTTCATCTATTGCATAATATAGTTAGATGTACACAACACAACTTTTTAATAGAAGCCTTATTCAATAATTTATTTTAATAGAATGCTTAATTCAGCATTATGATAGTGAATTTTCACATGAGATCTAGTAATTTATGCAATTGATAAAAAGCATATTGAAGAAATAAAATATTTACACAGCCACTTTTAAGGCCTTTTCACACCGGCGTACTGGACGTACTGTACGTTTGGTAAGTTTTTTTTTCAACTAATCGCTGCCCATGTTATCATATGAGCTCGTTCACACCGCGCGTACAGAACGTACTGTACGTCCAGTACGTACGCGATGATTTTGTGTGAATCGCTCGGAGAGCGATTTTTCTAAAACGTACGTGGCGTACATGGGCTCGCGCATGCGCAGTGAACACTTCCAAACCACAAGCTCAGCCAGTGTTACTTGTCTGAATGCAAACGAACAAGTGTACGTTTTGGAAGTTTCTGTGCGGTGTGAAAGGACCGCGTACAGTACGTACTGTACGTACTGTACGTACAGTACGTCCAGTACGCCGGTGTGAAAAGGCCTTAAATTCTTAACAATTGTTAACTTAAACTATTATATAATTTACTGAGCTCAATTATTAATACTAAAAAAAACTCAACTCACTGAAAGTTAAAATATTTCTCACCTTGTTAATAATTTTGACTTTGTGTTTAAAGTTCTGCTTGTGTTTATATTTTGAACAAAAGATACGTTTAGTGAACTTCATTTTTGAACCAAACCTATAATGACTCATGTGGATATACATTGTATTGTGCTTTAGATGATCATAGATGTAAGTTATCACTGATTTAATTTCTAACAGTTATCCATAAACAAATATCCAGTATCTAATCAAATCAATTAGACAGCCAAGGAAGTGGAACTAAATCAATAACAATCAAAATTCCATTGGCTTTCTGATATTTCTTAAGAAAACCCAAATTTATTATCTTAATGTTGGGCCCATATGAGATAGCGCCTTGAAATATTGTTTGATTGCTTAAGTTTTAAGGGATTGCAGTGACGGTCCCAGGGGGGGGGGATGGGAGGGATATATCCCCCCCGAAATATTTTATTTTTTATTAGCTAACATAAAACATAAATACTAGCTTGAGCGTATTTTATAGCTCAAATACGTATAAAAATTAGGTTTTAGGCTTTAAATTCCACATTTTTTCTGGGGGGTTTCCTGGGGGATATTCCAGACCCCCCCCCCGGTGGTCATCCCCCCCGAAATTAAATCCCGGGACCGCCACTGTGGGATTGCCAAAAACCACTAATTATGCCAACTAATTGTTTTACTTTTAGCTGTAAAATTTTAAGTATAACTTCATAATGTCTAATTGACACTATTCAAATGCACTGTAAATTGATACTAACTCACTTCCATGGCTATTTATACCCAATGTGGTACAGTATTTGGCCTAATAAGTTAAATGTTAACCTACAATATACCGCATTACCTAAAGTGCAAATATTAAAACAATATTTATTGATTTGATAATAATATCCAGATTTTATTAAAAACAATTCTTAGTGTTGTAGGGAGCATTTTCCCTCATCCCTCCCTACTCGCCATCCTAATTGATATGACTTGTAACTATGTGTTTAAATATTTTGGTAGGCCTAATGCCTTGTCTTTAGTTGTACCGTAAACCTCAGAAATTGTATACCAGCACACAAATCTTAAATACACGGATGACAGTAGAGTGTTCCATAACTGAAACACCATTGTGCAGCGAACCTGTAGACTGATACTTAGAGAATTTTTAGTTACTTTCGAGTTTTTAATAAGGTTGACCATACAAGGGCTGTTCATAAGTTGAGGTCTCCATCAAAGCTAGTTCATAAATCTGAGGCCAACGACCTATTCTTCACCTCATCCAGTCCTATTCTAGCTGGTTCCTCCACCCATACACAGAGAAATAAGGTACCGGTACAGAAGAAAAAGGGTGGGGGGTTAAGTGGCGTCTAGAGCAAAGTCCAACACCACCCTTCGCCCTCATGTACTACAAAGCTCACAGTGGAGCCCTGTGTGATAGGAATTTTTGCACAGTGCTCGCAACTCTTGCTCTTCCTTACTCTTCACAATTAATTATATTTTCAGCACAAGTCAGAATATAATAAAGCTGATGTGCACAATCGTCCCATAAGCATGTTTTCCACCTTATTTCTCTGTGATCAATGCAACAATTAATAACGTCACAGAAAAAAAAAAAAAAAAAAAAACATATGAGGAAAAACCACTAAGTGATGAGTAGTGTTGTGTCATTTAGATTTCTGATGAGGTCAACCCCCATTGGAATTTGTTGCCCATTGACAGATGTGTTGTAACGAGCTATTTTTCCAAGGGGGTTAGATATTGTTTTATAACCGCCCACGCACCTGTTGTTGACATCAACAAGCCGAGCTAGCGCCCTTTGATCCGCTTATCAGTTCCGATAAGCCTCGGGTATCCTGGAACTTCAGGACATTCGAGTGGTGGATTTGGATCAGTAGGTAGGTTAATACTTTATTACTTAACTTGAATGATTTACTTTGAAATTACGACCATACTAATGTGTAGGTATTTTAAGCCAAGTATGAATGGAGATGAGTGGTGCGATCTTGTAGTCTTGTAAGTGACTAAGGCAATAGCCCATACAGCCAATGGTAACCCAGGGACCTACAATTTACTGTTGCTGTCGAGAGAGACGTGGCGTGTATGTGGACATTGGTGTCGTTGGTAGTTACTGTGTGAAGTGTTTGCAGTTTAAGTTGGGTAGAGACCCGCTATTGGTGAGTGACAAAATTCCTGGTATTTCGCCTGTGGTATTGTAAAATAATATCTTGGCAATATTTATTCCCTGATTTTATTACAAGAGTTAGAGTTGCTGGTTAGAGCGACGGTTCTGGGCAAGCCCCAAAGTGCAAATAATATATATTTATGAATAATTTATAAATTTATTATAATTTATGTAATTATTATAATTTATATAATTAATTTATGACTAATATAGGCCTATATTTAGTATTTATTTATAATATATTTTTTGTTCATCAGTCTTTTCTAACTTTAAGGTCTGACAAACCTAGGCTACAGGATTTGGCGTGTATAGTGGACCACAGCAAGTGGCCAGTAGGCTTGTAGATATTTTATTAGCCTATTAAATAGAAGCCCAGCTAATCAATAGTACGTTGATAGTAGTAGTGTTTTTATTAGTCAATAATTGTATGCTTTTCACTGAACTACACGGCTTGTTATTGATCCAGCACTTTATATTGGTAGCTTGGATAGCGTAGTACCGGCTATCTGATAAATTTTTTTAGCGTTTGAAGGAATTCTATTTATAACACTGCTACTAAGTAGCTCAATAATTTAACAACAGTGCAACTTGTATTTAGTTATAGCTTGGTAGTTGTTGAGTCCAGTTACTAGGTGTTTAGTTGCTCTGCCCATACTTTTATTATTTTGTATTATTGTTTATTGAGAGAACTTACTGTTTGATTGTTAGCTTGGAAATTAGAGTTGTGTATTGGATTTTAGTGGCCGAGTACTCCCCGCCTGTTGATAACGTGCGTTGAGGTTATTATTGGCAAGTTATCGCATCACTCACATATTTTTAGACACTCTGGGCTCAACTATTGAATTGTTAGGACAAAGCCCGAGTTGCGTCGGCAACGACACCCGTAGGGGAGTGGAGAATTGACGTAGGTCTGGTGGTGATTATTGCACTATTGTTTAGTGACTTTTTTTTACTTGTTCACAGTGCCCTTGTATGAACCAGCCCTATAGGCTATTAAACCCTGCTTTCAGCCTAGTGGTTTCTCTCATAGAAGACCCTGGAATTTTACTCAGCCATCCTAGGCTAAGTAGCCAGTAGTCGGTACTTATCAGTTTCCATTAAGGTGGTTAAGTTTGATTAAACTTTGCTTGTTGATTGGCGTGTTTAAAACTGCCATAAATTTAGGCCAACCGTTGACCTTGGTAGTCTTATAGAGCTACGTTTCTTATCAGCTTCCCGCAATCTCTGGTTTAAGCCATAACTTACTGCTATTCTCATGGGAAATTCCTTTACTATGGTATTGCCTCAAAGGAAACTAATCAACCAACTGCAGCTGGCCTACACCTTGTAAAATATCTCTAGGCCTAACATCGTGGAAATGTTTACGGGACCACTTCTGAAGTACCACCACCCCATGCGCAGATTATTTGTGTCCAAATATTTTGGGCCTACTCCTACACATTGAATAACTTTCGGTTGGCTTCGATAGCAGTTGACACCTTAGACCATAGAAATTTGATCAAAGAACATGATCTATTTTGCAGGAGAGTCAATTTTTAAGTAGACTATGGTCAAATGGTAGGACTTATAAGTTAGAAGTTATCCAAGCGTATAAAGTAGGTTTATACATTTTTTTATTCCAAAAATAGGGGGCAGGGGGAAAGGGGCAAAGCTTTTATATGTGACTCCATCGTAAGTTATTACCTATCGATTGTTAATCTTGCCGGAGAGGGCATAAGTTGGTAGGTGTATGGCTAACACACACCTACCATACCCACACCTACACACTGCACCTACCTACCTATAAGTTTACAGTGGGCCTTGCAAGGAAAGCAAACTACCGATATTTGTAGAAGTACTAGGTCTTTAAGTATGATGGTATTTTTCAGATTAGTAGTTAACCTTCCGTCGGGCGCATTGATTTTCAAACACCAAAGGGCGCTCACGGAAGTTACCTCCGGGAGTACAAAAACTATGCAATGATGAGTAAAAAACATTTTAATAGCAATTAAAACTGCAAGAAAAAGATTTTTTATGAGTTATTACACTATTACTTACATATCAAATAAGAAAATGTTATAAAAACAAATAAAAATAGGTACGGTAAGTGTTGTGGACAAAAAAGATTTACTTTTTGTACTTATACAGTACTCTAGAAAACAAATTTGAATATTGTATGACATAAAAACACGTACATGGTGTAAAAAAACAATAATTTTATACAAGGATAACTCATTCAGTCAACACTATTAGCCAAAAATTGCATCTGTGTATGACATAAAAACACCTTTGGTATTATGAAAAAAGATAATTAACTTATTTCATATGGACAACTTACTTTGTCAAAGCTCTTTAGAAAAAATTGCAATGGTGTTTTAAATAAAACACTAAGGCTGCACTTTACTTGACGTCCTACACTCATTCGATTGTTTTTTCGATTCAATATTTTCATTCGATTGTTTCATTCGATATATCGTTTGGTTAGTTAGGTTAGGTTACCTTACCTAACTAACCAAACGATATATCGAATGAAGCAATCGATTAATCGATATATCGATCAATATTTTCATTCGAATGAGTGTAGGACGTCAAGTAAAGTGCAGCCAACACTAATTATTGTCTAATGCAAAAAATCATTTGTTAGAAAGACCACACATTTTGTCAAAGCTCTTTTTCTTGAAAAAAAAGCTTACCGAACTCACGCACCATTAGTTCCTTCTTCCAAATGTTGTTCCTTGTTCTCCCTTTCAACACTAGCCTACAATCTTGCAATTAGTTCTTCTTCATCCATTTTATAATATCGCTAAATACGGTCAAACACAAGGGCGCACACGGAACTAGGCTCTGGGAAACCCGTTGCATCTCAGGGCGCTCACGGAAGCTACTTCCAGTAGTGACGCAAACCACTCCCCAAGGTCGACTGACAACTGGGAAAGAGGTAAGAGTATACAAAACCGACTCCGCAAAAGTGGTTCGTGAGGTAAATCAGGCCACAGCCCCGCCGAACCCATACTATGGTTTTTATAACGAAAAAAGTAGTGACCCGGAGGTAACCTCCGTGATGCGCCCGACGGAAGGTTAAAAACAAAATGGTAGCTTAAGTAGGTGATATGATTGTCTAAGATAGAAATAACTTAGGTCTTTAGGCCTACTTAGGCTAGGTCATTTGAAAAGGTAGGCCTAGTCTGCAAAAATCTCATCATTTGATAATATTCTCTCCTTCAAAACATAAATTCCAACAATCACTCTCTCTCCAACAATGATATTTCTATAAGTTTGGGGCTAGTAGAAACTAGTTAAGTTTGCCTATATAAAAGGTTAGGTAAAATATTGCAGCTTGCAACATCCACAGCATTACAGAATTCTTAGCTAACTATGGTGCAAAATGGCTACAATGTGGTATCAACTAGAGAATATAATTTTTACAGGTACCTTAGAATGAATAGAAAATGATTTGTTTCCAAACAGTCCGAGTTTACCTTGACTTGACAGTTGACACAACAAAAATATCAAAGATTACGAGAGATAATGAAACAGAAACGAAAGGCAGCAGAAGCAAACAGATCAGACAGACGACAGTTTTTTTTTTCTCTATGCCATGCTACTGCCACTGCTCGCAAAAACGACCAAAGCTTCCTGTACATAGCCTGTCATTGGTTGAAATTAAACACAATAGGACACAGCTGAGAATGTGAACAAATAAATGTGAAGGAGCAGCGGAGCAGCTGATTTTGGTGGTGGTGGAGGTGGACTGGACGTGGACAGACAACGACAGCCGACAACGGACCAGATGTAGCCGACCGGAGAAAATTAAGACCTGTCACCTTGGGAATAGTACTTTTTAGAGTGAAGTTTTCTTTTATTATATATTTTACTATAGTTTTGTCTGATAATTTATATTATGAATTATTGCTTCATTCATTTATATCAAACGATGTTGGTGCTCTTTCCTGGTGTCAGTCAATTTAACTTGCCAAAGTGACGTCACCTTAAGTTATGGCGAGTAAATATGTGAGTATTGACGATGATCTTTTGTAAGTCAAATGTATAGTTTTAATGACTCGTAGATGTAGTTGTGATTTGAAAGGTAAAGTTGATTGTACCTTTAGTATATTTGTTTCTATCTCATAATGACTGAAGTTATTTGGCAAATGCTAAACTATTTGAGATGTTTTCATCTTAGATTAGTAACAAGCTCTTTGGTGCAATCACGATGTGATGACCTTGAAGAATGCTGCCTAATTCTTTCAATTTGACTGAAGATAACATATTTTCAGCATAACCACCAAATAAACTCGGTTAGGTTTTTAATTGGTTTCTTAAATTTTACAAAACATGACATATCTCATTCATTAAATTATACAAATTTATCCATTTACACAGGTATGGCACAATGGTCATCAGGATCTGGTGTGTCTAGCTATCTAAATTCATGTCCTCAAAATCTAGGTCATTGCCAAATAAGTTAAAGTGAAATCATAGTGAAATGTTGTATAATTTGTTTATTAAAGTTAAGTATTGTTGGATCTAACTTATTGTTCTAATTACACTCCAGTTAGTTGAGATTTAAGTTAAAATACAAGTAAACTTAGGCCTAATCATTTTTGAAAGTCATTTTGTGAATAAGTGAATTCTCTCAAATTCTTAAACATATCTTTATTGCCAAACCCAATTTAACATAGCCTATTGCATGGCATCTGTCCTAAATAGTCTTTTTAACACATTCTCACCCACAGTAAAAATTGTACCTAATGTATGACAAACAATTTAAATATATTTGTCTCTCTGTTCTCAAAACTCTTCAGGGAGTTTTTTTTTTTACTTTACTCCGGATTGAGAGGGCAGGCTTAAGGCTGCTCGGCATTTGTTTTAAGCCAACCTGTACAGTTCTCAGCCCTGTGTAGGACATGATGAGTGTAAGTTATCCTCACCTTGCATTAGGCATTTAAATTATTTAGAAGACATCACAGCTTCCGACATATATACAGCAAAGAAAGTGTTTAAGTAGACTCAACTCCCTGTGGCCTTACAACACTCTCGCCTCTAGTTTAGCCACTATTCTGACGTTGTCAAGGTTATTCCTCCAACTGAGCCCCTGGTAAAGGGTGATGTCAAGAAATTGACAACAAATTAAGTTAACTTGATCAAACAACTTTTTCCTACTGTTCTGTTGTGTTATTTATATTAGTACTGTTAATCAATTATGACTCTTGGTCACTTGATTCACCGAGCCTGTAAAAACATAGGCCTAGGCCTAACTTAATTATTTTGTATGAGTTTATCTTCAAATTTAAGTTTATTCTTTAAGAAATTGAACACATGACTTTTACATCTTAAGGTTTTGATTTCTAAATTTGAAAGATTGTTTGCAACTAGGGGTGTCAATCCCGAATCCTGGGATCCCGGTCAATTTTTGATACCTAATGTGATTAATGGGATTGCAAAACCTATGTTTATATATATAGGCCTATTTGTGAATTTGAGGAGTTTTAGTTATCATCAAACTCAATAGGCGAACGTAGTGTAAATATATTATGTTTCATGTTTTAGACGAATTGGGCTGCTCTTTAGTAGGGCCTATCTGTACTACACTCATTCGGATGAATATATCGATTATTTCATTCGACATATCAAGTTTGGTAAGTTAGGTCAACCTAACCTAACTAACCGAATGAAATAATCAGTCATAGGCTATATCGATATTTTTCATTCGAATGAGTGTAGGACAGATATTAAAGTGCAGCCACAAATTGTCATTACAGTAGTTAGAAGTTAAATTTGAATACGCCTATAGGTTATGTTGAGTTTTACTTTTGTCATTTAACGCAATTGATGTAGTAAACATAACATGGCAATTGGTAATTAATATTATTATATAAGTACTAGCTGACCCGGCGAACTTCGTATCGCCTAAGTTATAGGTTTCCCCTAAGACAGACCGATGGAAAGAAAGTACCGTTACGTTTAATTTTCAAGATGATCTCGTTCGCATCGCTCAATCACGTCCTGGTTGAAGTTCGTTCGCTACGCTCACTCACCTTTGGGTTGGAGCTCGTTCGCTACGCTCACTCACCTTTAGGTTGGAGCTCGTTCGCTGCGCTCACTTGCCTTCAGGTTAGCTCGTTCGCTACGCTAACTCGCCTCCAGGTAGAAGTTCGTTCGTTACGCTCACTCACCTTTGGGTTGGAGCTCGTTCGCTACGCTCACTCACCTTTAGGTTGGAGCTTGTTCGCTGCGCTCACTTGCCTTCAGGTTAGCTCGTTCGCTACGCTAACTCGCCTCCAGGTTGAAGTTCGTTAGCTACGCTCACTCACCTTTTGGTTGCAAATTAGCTGTTGTCATAAATGTAAAAGAAATAATAGTGCTGCACCCTGTTGGTAATCCTTGTAACTTTAATGCTACAGTATTGAACATCATAGAACAGAACCAACTTGTTTAATTGAAACAGCTGTTAAGATTCATTAATTCCATTTCTCATAAGGTTAACATGGGAAACTCCAGAGCCACTGGGGCGGAGCCCTTTTAAGAATTTCGAAACGGGAAATAGTTTACGTCCGATTCGCATACCTACAGAATTTACACACCAAATTTCATAACGATCGGTGAAGTCGTTCCGGAGGAGTTTGCAGACAAACACTGTGACACGAGAATTTTATATATTAGATTATTTTCTTTGTTGTTATTAAAGGCCTAACAATTAACTACCCACACACACACACCATTATTAACATTGCTTATTTATGGTCTACTAGCAGTTACCCGGCGCTTGTTGCTGCGCTTAACAACTAGGCCTATTATTTGAAATAGTAAGTTGTTCCGTACAATTAATAATGAAAATGTATACCAATAACAAAAATAGAATATTTATTTTACTTAATTGTAAGTGGAGAAACAATGTTTTTTTGTTTTTTCATTGGGTGTAGGTCTATAAATATATAACTTTTTAGGTGTAAGTTACCCTTTTATGTTTACATCTTAATAGTGGAGAATTTAAACGTTGTTGAGTGCACAGGTGTGCTGCAATTGGGGCTTAATATATTTAGACTTATCCAAAAGTAAAATAGTTTTCTGTGCTGCATTCTGTGGAAACAGTGTGGCACTATTTCTAATCATGACTATACAGATGTTGTGATTATTAACACCTACAAAACAGTTCCTTGGTGAAAGTGAACATCTGTGTTTAAACTGTATTTATTTGTAAACATTGTAGTTCCAAACATCTGACATTAGACACCTTAAAACCCTCTGGGGCGGAGCCCTTTTGACGGATCTGCACCAAACTTTACACAAACCATCCTTGAATAATGCTTAATAATGCTTGAATCTTTCATTACAATCTTTCAAGCAGTTTCAGAGTCCATAAGGTACATACATACATAGTTCCTCTTTTATAGATATAGATAACTTTATCTTTTATTGCATTTTAAGTGTAGTTATTAAATGTTTTACAATTCTAAATTAGGCTAAGTTTTTCACATAGGCTACCCTATTTAAGCAGATGGTTTATTGTTTGTACAGTACCTTTGAATCTCCCATTTAAAATTATATCACTCATTATCAGTTTATTTAATAATAAGCGATCACAAGAGAATCTTGTAACAATTTATACGTTGCAAAATTAATTTCCCCAGTGGTCCCCAAACAAACGCCCGTCCCCCACTAGAGTAGGTAAGTTTTTTTCTGGTTTCGCTTATCCAAAATGTTGCATAGCAAACCATCTCTAGGATTGAGTTTACCCTAAAAACGCTTACTACCTGTACTATCTGTAACTTTTCACCCAAAAGTTTTGAAGTAGGTACCTTGTACACATGTTGACCTAGCATTGTTTTAGTGCATGGAGCCTCTCAGTGCAGAGCCGCATGCAGAGGAAGAGCCTGCCCACCATGCTCGACGGCCAATGAATGCCTTCCTTATATTCTGCAAGCGGCACCGTGCCGTCGTGCGACAGAAGTATCCACACTTAGAGAACCGGTCCGTCACCAAGATACTAGGGGAGTGGTGGGCAAACATCGAACCCACTGAGAAGGCTTCGTATACAGAGCTCGCTAAACAGGTCAGCTGCCTAACTTAGTTCTTTTCATTACTTTGTAATTTATAAAAAGTAAAACCACAAGGTGGTGGATAACTGAGATTTTTGGTTTAAAGAGAGGCGGAATATGAAGGTGGTTCCACTGCTGTTGATGCAAATTTTGCTGAAAAGGCACAGAGAAGTAAGGTACAGATGAAACATTCAATGGTACAGTCTAACCTTGATATAACGAACCTCGATATAACAAATTCCTTGATATAACGAATTTTTTTTAATCCCCTAGAACTCTCCATAAGACACAATGTATATTTTACCTCTACATAACGAACAAACCATAACAACGACCTTGATTTAACAAATTTTTCGTGATTTCGCTAAAATAAGACACCTCAATATAACGAATTTATCATTGTCAGAACCTCTACATTGCGAATTTAACCTCTGCATAATGAATTGTCTACGTCTTTCCCTCGATATAACAAATCCCTCACCCAATTATTGTTTTGAGAATACTTATCTGTTCTTTATCAAATGAAATGGAAAGGTTACGCCATCGCTTGCGCTAACATTCGTCTGCTCCGTTTTACATCTTTGTCTGCTGTCGCTGCACACGCTATGTTGCATTGCAACTGAGAACTGAACTGATTTCATTCACTGAGGACTGATGACGACGTAATGTTTAGTAAGCTGTGATTGGGCGATATGGGATAGCTATGGTGAATTGTACAATTTTTGGATAAAGAGAAAACTAAGAAAGAATATAAAAACAAAACCAAAGAGAAAGAATAGCAACATCGTTATCTTAACATTCCTTTTACGAGTGTTTTTATTATCCTTAAGTTGGCTATGATTATACACTTTTATAATGACTTATCTAATAATTTATTGTTTTCAATATGATTTGTTTCAACTAGCAACACCAATGCTATAGTTAATGATTATTATTGACATTCCTCTGTTGTGATAAATCAGTACTGTACTGTAAGTAGCCTACCGGCCTATCACGAGCAGTAGCTTACAAAACTTTCTTCTGTTTTGTTTTGTTCTTTACATGGTTTATGACTACGCAATACAGTGTTTGGCTAGGTTTTAGGAGGGTTAGAACAAGCTGTGATATTAAACTTACAGTTACAGTTTTTAACCTGTACCAAGGTCAATGCCATTGTCATGATTGTGCAATATTCAAGATCCCTCCCCTTTATTTTTCCGGATAATTTAGGTTCTACTGTACAATGTAAACACAGTACTGTAAAGTATTGTAGCGTAGCCTATGCTACTTTAATTGTATTTTAATGATCTCAAATCGCGACCTATATTGACCGACGCTGGTTCTGAACCTCGACTTAGCGAAATTCCTGCAAACCTAACCTAATTTTGTTTTAACAAAATCCTTGATATAACGAATATTCAGTTCGGTCCCTTCAGATTCGTTATACTGAGGTTGGACTGTACTCTTGGGTGGTGTCTAGCACTAGTCGCTGGTTCCTAGAACAAAGTCCTACATCACCCCCCTCGTTAATGTTCGGTTTAGGAAGGCCCTGTGCTAGAGGAATTTCCACACAGCGCTTGCTGCTCTGGCTGGCATTTTCTTGGTCGTCATAAGTATAAATCCAGCACATCATACTAGAGCTGGAAGCGCACGGTCGTCCCATTAGCGAGTTTCCTCTGTATCTTACTTCTCTGTGGTAGGCTAAAGGTTAATTTTCCGTTGCCTTTCTAACCAGTTTTTTTTTATTTATTAAAAAATAAAGCGTTTTTGAAAGGGAAGGTTTTTTTCTGGGAGCAAGATTGCTTACTATATGAATGAATAAACTTTTCCTATAGTGTAGAAATATATGTTAACATTAGCCTTGCAACTTTTTATCTTTACCTCCACCACTTAGCTCCAAACCTGAGTAAATATGTTTTAAGGCGGTATTTGAAAATTAACCAGCTCTACCCTTTAATGTCACTTCACAATAAATTTTATACAATATATTTGTTGGTAGCCTATTGCCAGTTTTTTTCTGCCATTATTACCAACGTATGATGTTTCTAAAGTAATAATTTTAAAATTTAAACATTGTTTTCATAAAGAACATTGTTTGTTGTTTCTAAACTAATATTTAGGCTACTATCCAGAAAGAATTGCAATGTGAATAAAACTAATATTTGTTGACTGTAAAATGAAAATCATTAGGCCTATTGAATTGTTGGAATGATTTTTACAAAAATTCTTGCCATCAAGACTGAAAAAAATGTATTTAAAGGTTAACATAAGTAATAAACTAAACAGACTGAAAACAAACAAAATTCACCCTTACATTTATGTCTTTTTCATTTTAGATATTTAATATTTACATATTGTTAAAGATGTAGGCCTACACTATTTAATGCACCCTGTACTTTTTACAGTACAAAGAAGCATTTCTTAAGGCGAATCCGGATTTCAAGTGGTACAAATTACCGGCTCCACCTCTTCGCACATTGATGACTCGGCCGACCAATCAGAAGCTGCCGAAGTTGAGTTGCGAGCTTTCTTGTGGCCCTATCACTCCTGGTAAACTTGCAGGTATAGGATTTGGTTTATCATATTCATATTTCATCAAAGTAGTCGGACGTTACTTAGCAAACATAGTTAAGTACAATTAATTGTTTGTAATGGAATAAATAGAAATTAGCTTAAGTTAATGTCAAGGAAGTAATAATAATACAGTGTCATAATCAGGAATTCAGCCTACTTGTATGAAATAAGATTTAATACATTTACGTTACCTGTGGGTGAATTTTACTTTCCATTTGCAAAAATTCAATGTAGGGTATTCAAAAAATTGTCTCCTAGGCTGCAAATATTCCAGAGGCAGTTTCCAGGCTGGATTATTTCTTAGTAGTCTATAAATGCAACATCAAATGAAATAAATTTAAATTTCTAGGTAAAATCATAGGGAAGGATAGGCCGATAGGCCTAAACAATTTTATCTTAATTAAAATATCTACTATGTGGAAAATTAAAAGCAGAGTCTACTACCACCAATAGTAATAAAAAATCATAATTAGGCTGTTGTTTAAAAAATGATGACCTAAAATTTAATAGTAGCCTATAGTTTATATCAGCTCATAAAGACTTTCAAGGGCAACTTTCTGCCATTGTAATCATTACTACATATTGTTGCTAATTTAAATGTGGTTATGTGGTAGTTTATGTATTTAAAAATATAAGTAGGCTTTAACTCAATTTTAGGTGCTTAACTAATTTTCTAAGTTATTAGTTGTGAATTTGACTTTTTTAAATCTTTGAACTAAACATTTCACACCCCAATTTTTATGTATGGGAAAAATGAGGCAAAAATCCTACTACTTCTGAGAGAATTTGCCGCTGATTTAAGTTTTAAAATTCATAAAATCAATAAGTACTGTGTAAATTGGTGATGTATTTAATGCTGTAAATGTGCGCCAGAAGCACTTTAGGTAGTTTAGCACATGTCCAGAGTCAAATTAATGTCATGGTTAGAGCTAATTTCACTCTGCATACATTTCCGAAAGAGAGAGTTGGCCTTTGAAAGTCAGCTAGGCTTCGGAAAGACACCTTTTTAATAAGCATAGCATATTTTCAAATAGGCCTACTGCTGTAAACTAAGCAGTCTTTTTCTTTTAGCATAAATTAATTTTTACTCATCTGGTATTTAGCAAATTTCCCATATAGGGGAAAAAAACACGAAAAAATATATTCACCTCCAATTTTGAAATTTTGCCTGAAATATTGAAAGGTAGATTCTTAATTTTTTTCTTTTCCTCATTTACTTCATTAGGTTGATTTAGGTTTATTTCAAATCAAATTTTTGGATCAAGAATTATCTCGTTGTTTGAAAAACATTATTTAACACAAATTAACTTAGGCCTTAGAATCCAATTTTATTGACTGTGTGAGCACAAATCGATGTTGGTTTAAGGTTGATTCACACACATCAGTTACGGCACAATGCAGTCTAGTCACTTCAGGCACGTCACAGTTAACAAAAATATTCTTTAATGGATTTTCTATAGCGCTATCTACACTCATCCGTTGCAGTCCCGTCAGTCACTCTGCTGGCATCCGTCAGTCAATTTCAGATTTCTTTCCAACGATATTTTTTTATTGTTCGGACGCCTAATGGTTATGTTTACATTTTGAGAACTGTTTTAACAATCAACAAGATGGACAATGATACTTTAATTGAATATAGGTTTATAACTTAAAAATTTTCACTGTAAATTACTGTAAATTTTAGAGACGGAAGACTGACTGAAACCAACTGACGGACAATTGACTGAGAAAATGCGGATGCAACTGAGACTGGACTGTGACTGGACTGTAACGGAACTGTGACAACTGATATGTGTGAATCGACCTTTACCATCTATTAGGTTTTTACCTGACGTCACTGATGGTATGTTTCAGATGAGAGCGAAATGGGAGGTTTGTGCAGTTTGTTGTCAGGATCAGCTGTTTCAAGTCATCCCCTCTCCCCTCCCCCACAACATTGTGTTCCAAAACCTCCCAAGAAACGCTACTTGGAGGAAAACTACTTGGATACTGGACAGGTTTGTCAGGTTTTATCCTCCTTTGTTCTGTGGTAGTAAAGTAAGAACTCTTATTGACTTTTCATGATTTAAAGTAAATCTAATGGAAATTAGAATTTAGACTGATTATGGCACAGAACAGACCCGTTTCTTTTTACCCTTGCAAAAATTAAATAATCAGATTCAGAATCCTTTTATTGTTATTTGTGAACATTAAATTGCTTTAGGCAACGTCAAAGAACACAAGAAATGTAATTGTAGTATTCATATCCCAAGAATAAAGACTATGAAAAATTATAAAAATGGATACAACTTATAGTCTATGGAGGAAATTTTAACTTGGTTTGAGTCAAGAAAAAATATTGTTTTCCAAATAGTATAGTAAGCATTTTATTTTACATCTATAAAGCATTGTGTTTCTTATTATTCTAAATTAATGTTAATATTGTTTTGTTTTAGAAGTACGAAGGCTACCAACAGTTATCACTTTACGAAGACCCTAAGTCAAGCAACTCGATAGACGAATATAATCTTCACTCAGATGAAGTCAATCGCATCTGGAACGTTAGGTTTAACAATGTCGAGGAATCTGTTACTTTGGACACAATTGGACAAGGCTTTGAGAGCTCAACTTGCTCTACTTTGTCTGACGTCAGTTGTGACTCAGTGACTCAGGAGTCCTCGGAAGTCATTACCGATACCAAAGAGACCTCAGCGACCAAGTCACCTAGTGACGTTCTGTCAAAATCCGACCAAAGACTTGAAAACTGGAGAAATGCAATGGTTAGAACATCCCAACAGCAAATCATAGATTGTGTTGTCGATCAAATGTGCTTCACCGATGCCAAAATCGGACCTGACTGGGAAAAAAAAGATTTGACGTTCAATTTCGAACCTTTAAACAACAATGTTTACGAATCTTTCAGTCAAAATCAGTCAGAATGCTGTAATCCCTCAGGTACGAGTAGTTTAAACTTGAAGTCTAGTCAGGAAGAGAGTTTCACAGTGTTTTCAAACCAAACCGATACAAACGTTGATGATAACAGTACGCTCGCCGAGAGTGAGTTTATTATTGTAAATAACCAAGAGTGTGTGAACATTGTTACCGAAGAGGGAGTCGACTTAAACAGTAATATTCCGCAAAATGCGATACTTCTCGAGGTGAAGACTGATTCGGTTACTGGAAATTTAGTGTCTGGATTCAGAACTGACGAATATGAGTTCCAAGTGATAGAGAACAGTGAACAAGACACCAGTGAAGTGGATGCCGCGGCTGAGGTTGAAACCATAGAAGTATTTCAGACAAGTGATCTGAATCAACATGTTGAAAAGTGTTCAGAATCAGTCAAAGAACCTGAGTTCCAGGAGCCGAATGAGGTGGATTCAAATGCCAAGCCAGTCCGAGCTTGTAAAGGCGTCAGATATCGGGAGTTCATGTCCTCCAGTCAACTCGGAAAGAGACGAGCTCGGCAGAAACAAAGGTAGTTTTAAAAACCTCTCAAGTTAATATTAATTTTTACCATGTTACTACTCAGTATTAAAAATACTTCATAAAAAAATTCTGAATCAATGTATTAGGCCTAAATTAAATTGTCTAGTTATACTACTTTATTTTCAAAACTTCAGTAAAAATAGATGAGTTCAAATTATGTACACTCATCAAATCCCAGGCTTTTTATGATGGCTGTGAGTCAATGCAACACACGATGTCAGAAATTTGTCTGTACAGTGCTATGCCAATTCAATTAGAATAGGCGAATGACGCCTTTGGAGATGTGCTAGCTGGTTTCTTAACCTTAACAACCATCCAGGTAAGTTCCCATCAAGGTAACCAGCTAGGCTATGCTGACTGTGGGTACGTTGTCAGCTGAGAGAATACTTACTACTTTTACATAGCAGTAAACTACCATCCTGGCTACCAGTGTGGAGGGCTCTGCTGTCCGTATGAACCCTTGAGGATTTCACCAGTAAGCCATCTGTAAGCTATCTGAGCTAGTTAAACTATATCCCTTTTCTAAACATCTCTGTTTTAATTCGATTCTTGTAATCCTAAGCATTTTTTTTAATATTAAAAACACTATGTCTATAGACTAATGAAAATAAAGATGTAATTTTTTAAGATACTCGTTTGAAATTTAATTTGACTGAATTATGGTAACCTTTTTTTTACAGAATGTTTGGTTACCACTACTTGACCCAGAAAAGACCACATACGTACAACTTTAAGCAGGCATTGTCTTCTCCAGCCCACAACAATTTTACAGAAGATATCAGTTCAATGGAAGAAGGATCTAGTCAAAAGCTTGCTGAAAGTGGCCTCAGTCCAAAAAATAAACAAAAGAAGAACTTTTATCAGCTTTTCAATACATCGATGTAAGTTCTTTTAATCTTGGATTGCCAGAATTTATTTATATTATTAATTCTGTAGGCGATTTTTCAAAATTAAAATTGTGAAAGTTTTTCAGATTGCAGAATAATGAGAGAGGGATCAAATTAAAAGGTCTTGGTCCCAGGGGGGTCGGGAAAAATAGCAGATAATGTCCAAATCATAAAAAAAAATATATCCCATTTAAAATGCATTGAGATTGAAAAACGTCTGCTTTGTTTACATTAAACATGTGATTACAAATGTATATAATTTTATTCTTCTTTTATTCTGTTGATAGAGTGCGTGAAGTTTGTTTACGTTGTATTAATTACAGCATACTGTATTGGCTATGTCTTATAATAAGTTCACAATGTCTGAGGGGAAGCGATTCCATCCACTCCACTTCACCCTAACTTTGAAACAACAGCTGACAGCTGACCAGCTGATATAATATATATATTAACGCTAAAAAGTGGGGGGGGGGGGAACACAGCAAACCTTCCCCTTAACTGTGTAAATTTTGTGAACTGGCTATCGTAATGATTTCCGTCTATAATAACTTCCCATGCATGTGTTTTTAAGAATTCTGTGTTTGTATACAACTTAACTACACATTCATTTTGTTACAAACAATAAGCAATTTGACTTTAATATTCTCAAACAAAGTTAAAGCTTTAATTGATTGACTTTCATCGCAATCAACTTTTCTCAAAACTTGTTCCGATTTAATACGTTTCTAATGGAAATATTTTTTCATCTTGACCAAATGGAAAGACGTTCCTAAAACATTTGATTTGTCATACCTACTTTTCAAAATGTTAACATTATTATGTTTACAGGGACAAAGACCAAGCTGATAGTGATGATGTAGACAGTCAGAGGAAGCATTTCAAACCAAAGTAAGTTATTTTAAAAATATTTCATCTATAAAAGAAAATCAAAATTACAAAATTCTATTAGGTAAGAAGCTCTATATGAAAACTGAATAATTGATTTAAATTATCAATAGATTATTACGGCCAACTCTTGCAAAATAACAATTTAAAAATATATTATTCCTTAAATAGAATGTAACATAGAGCACAAGAGGTTAGATTTAAAGAATTTCCGTTGGGGTAGCACAAAACATTTTACACTGTATAAGAAGTTAGAATGTTTAACTGTTGCTGACAGAATTTTCATCCAAGGAAGGTTTGAAGAAAGATGAGTTTGTTCCTTAAACACCGTGACAGAAGTTAATCTATTTATTTTGAATTTCAGCGATTTCAACCTCGAAGAGCGGATAGAAGCACTTCCACCATTGAGTTTGGAAGATTTTCAGCTGAAGAAACGATCGAGGAAAAAAAGGAATTCGTCGAGCAGTCCGGTGAACTTTTGCAGATCTCTGGAGGACAATGGTGAACATACAAATTTTGGACAGTACTCAAGAGGCTCGACTGAACCGAGTTTTAAGAAAGATACCCATTGTTCTCCTTCCCAAGTGGGAAAGACTGAATCCGAGGGTTCGGATGGAACGATATTGCTAAGTGAAAATCCACCGCAGTCCTCTCACCAGAGCGTCAGACCTCTGAATATTTCATCAAGAGTTTGCGAGGTGAACTGCTTTCCTGAGAACAAACATGAAATGTTTTGTAAAACCGGAAGTAAGGTGTCCGCTCCAAACTCATATTCTTACCACCAGCCAATTAGACAAGACGAGACTTCGTCAGCCGATGCAACAGGTAAGATTTATGTGTAGATGACTCACTGTTCTCATTGTTTACAATTTGAGGTATTTTTTTCACTGCAACATTTTTTTTAAGATACAAAGTAATACAGACTTAGCAGAAGCAAGAAAACTTGAGTTAGTCTTAAGTTTGTGTTTAAAAATTATTTACCGTTGATTGTTGGTGATTAGATATTCAATAGACAATAGACAATTAATCTTTATTTACACATTCATTAAGAATAGTAGTAGCGTCAATTTACAATTTTTTTTTTTTTAAATGTGTGGTTGAGGTGTTGTTTAGTCAAAGACCTGTTGATGGTATTCTTTTAAGGAATAGAAAGGTCGATTGATGAGCCATTGATGCAAAGCCGGTTTGAGTTCATCTTCTGACTTGCTTCTTAGATCTGGAGGTAGCCTGTTGTAGATTTTCATTCCTGCGTATGAAGGTTTCTTTTCAAATTGTGCCGAGCGATGTTGTGGAAGGTTTTACTGCATGGTGTTTCTCAGGTTGTGTTGGTGCATTTCGCCACGCCTTGTAGGGTTATTTCTTACTGCAAATAACACAACTTCCTGGATGTAGAGTGCTACAAGGGTAAGTACTTTGAAAAACCTGAATGCTTCCCTGCAGCTGTCGAGTCTGTGGAGTCCTGCAGTTATTCTGACTGCCTTTTTTTGTTTTCTGAGAACTCTTTGCATGTTAGTGGCAGAGGTTCCACCCCATGCTACAAGTCCATATCTCATATGCGACTCGAAAAGTGCAAAGTATGCTACTTTTGTTGTCATGTCATCTGATGAATTTTTTATATGTTTAAGAGCATAGATGGTTGAACTTAATTTTTTACATATATTGTCCACATGAGGGGTCCAGGTTAAATTCTTGTCGAGTGTGGTGCCCAAAAACTTAGCTTCATCTTCCACTTCTACATCTGGGAGTCGTGGCACTTTATGAGATTTACGGCCAAAAGCTATTTGAGTTGTTTTAGACGTGTTTACTGCGAGATCATTGTTATAGCAGTATTGGTAAGCCATACTGAGTGACACATAGGATTTTACTTCTAGATTTTCAGCTAGTGGTTCATTAAACACTAAGGTTGTGTCATCAGCATACATAAGAGTAAGGCAGGCGTCTCCTATTTGTTGCGGCAAATCGTTGGTAAAAAGAATAAACAGTACCGGACCCATAACTGACCCTTGGGGAACTCCTCGATTTATTGGTTGAAAATTTGATCTTGCTTTTCTTATTAGGCTGTTATCTCTGTGCCTTAGTTCTACAAACTGACTCCTGTCTGTAAGGTAGCTTTGAAACCATTCTCTTACTATCCCTGATACCTCCAGGGAATCCAGCTTTTTAATGATTAGCTGGTGGTCAAGGCAGTCTTTAATGCCTTACTGAAATCAAGAAAGATTCCTGTTGTTAGATTTCCTTCATCTAGGCTGTCAATCTGGGACTCAACCATCTGAATTATTGCTGTTGTTGTGGATTTCCCTTTTGTAAATCCATGTTGCAGGTTGTTTAGTAGGTTGTGATTTGTGCAGTGGTCTAAAAGTCTTTTTAAAACAACTTTTTCATATATTTTGGAGAAGGTGGAAACGAGGGAAATTGGTCTGTAGTTGCTTGCTTCTAATGTGCTACCTTTTTTAAATTTCGGGTATACTTTAGTTATTTTAAGTAGTGAAGGAAAGATGCCTTGTTTTAGGGACTTATTTATTAAATCAGCCAATGGTAGTGCTAGTTCATTGCAGCAATGCTTAAGTATTTTTGACGAGATTTCATCAATTCCAGACGAGTTTTTTGCTTTAAGTTCAGTTGTTTTAAACATGTCAGCTAGCTGCAAGGAACACGTTGAGCATTTGAAAAGTTTTCTATTTTTACACAAAGTAGGGATCACAATGAAACTAATGATTTACCACATATCAGTTACACCAGTATTTAAATAACCATCAAAACACTAGGCCTACTGTGTGAGTATATCTATATTACACAATATTTCAACTGTTAAATTGATTGACGGGACAGGCACACTATAGGTCTAGGCTCATCAACCATAGGCCACTGTGCAATCCACTTTTAGTGTACCCAATTTCATTGTATATTTCTCAATTTTAGCTCACCTGGATACTTTTATTAATCCGAAAAATTTATCCATGTACAGTTAGATCATACGATATGATGTTATTTGGTCGTTGGCCCTTTGGTTGTCCCATCACCCGACACTCTGTACTGTACCTCCAGTCGTCGTCCTACCTCACGTCGTCCTAACACGGTTTTCCTTATGTGTTTCATTTGAGTACCCGCCAAATTCATGAGTTTTTATAATTATGAATTTGGTTGAAACATTCCTACTATGTATGGTGCTTTAATGTTAAAACTTGTTTCAGTGCCTCAGACAGCCAAGAAAGTAAGTGACAGTGTTGTGGGGAGTCGTAAACGTAAAGCCCCCAAACAGAACATCACACGCCTAGAACCTGGCTCCAATAAAAAAGGTAAACCCTTATGCACATTCTCTTTGCTTAAATATTTCTAATATCTACAACAATAATCTATAATCTATTGAACCTTTTGTTAGCCTTATAGTTTGCATTTTACCTGCTTCTTATTTAGGCTGTTAAGTGAATGATGACTGTAAGGTCTGTTTTAATATATCTGTAAAGGGTTTTTTCTAAGGCATAACCTGATGAACAAATGATCAAGTTATTCTTATACCTTTTTGTCAGATCCGCTCAAGCTCTCGGCTTTTGTATGCCTATAGGCACCTTGATTGAACATCCAAATTGCAGTATTTATAGTTAATATTTTGTTTAGTATCTATTTAAAACTAAAACTATTTTTTTTACCACCACCTAAGCGCTAGCTCAAAATATTCATCACATTGTTGAACTAATTTGTACTTGTCAAAATCTGTTATAGACACGTCCGTAGTGGAGATGACGGTGTTGAGTCATATGGGGCTAGCGACACTGGCCGACGTGGCGACCACTCATCAACGCAGACTGTGGACCAATCAGTATTGAGTATCTTAGTGTAGTTTAGTCTCTGCTGCTGGTACTGACAGAAATATTATATTAGTACAAATCAGTCAAAACTATTGATTATTTTAGTTTTGTGATTATATCAAGCCGTACTTACATTAGTGTGTTCACGATTAAATCAGGCTTAAAAGCGAGTTGGAATTGAAAGTAAAGTAATTTTTGTTATGTTATTTAATAGCTACATAGAGCATATATGTAGATGAATCAATAGATTGAATACAGTTTATAGAGTTAAATACCGATTAATTATCCTATTAGCGTAATATTGTAATTAATTGTGAATTATTGTCTACTCATGAATTCAGTAAAATTATTTTTTCTTACTCATAAATGTGAACAATTGAGTTAACGAAATAATTGTGGTTTTGTTTCCGTGTGTAAAAATGGGGTTATTAAATATTGGTTCTGTTTTATTTTTAAAGTATATTATGTTATACTTAATGTCAAACTCCAGCTAAAAGCAATTTTATATCAGATCATTTGTTAAGTTCCTTGAAAAGTTTGTATATTATGTGTTTGAAATTAAGTATTCGTATATTAATGATTCAAATAGTGCTTCACAGCAAATACAGTCTGATTTTTTGTTTTACTCGAGTGTTGTTGATTTTATATTATTAATGTTATAATTGTTCTACCATGTTAAACTTTTGATTTTATCGTTTACTTTTGTCAATATTTTTCACTAGATGATAAATAATCTCTCAATTACTATTGGGTTTATGTTTTGTCATATTTTGTTCAATCTCGATTAACAAACGTTACCAAAAGTGGTGCTTAGTTTGACAAGTTTGCGTTAATTGTTTTTGTTTGTAATTTTTTTGAATTATATTGTTCAGTTATTGTTAAAATATATATAAAATATAGTAAAAATACTGTTATTGTACGACTGATTTAGCATATCGGTGATACCAGTTTCTATCATTAAATAAATATTATATAACGTTAAAAATAACACACTAGTTTGCTTAAAGGTTTTATAACGCACTATAGATGTATTTTTATACAGACGATCAATGCCTAATACTTGTAAGGTAGGCTAGTCACGGATTTGATCTAGTAGGCCTAGTGTAACACTATGTGATCTGTAACAAGAGATAATAAATAGAATAGGAAAGGTTTGTTGGTAATCTTTTGTATATTTTTGGAAAGGTTATTCATGATGGCTGTGAGAGTTATACAAAGTTTGTGACTTAGTGAAGACGGAGTTTATTTTCGAAGTGGTTTCACGCTGGTGTAACTTGTAATGAAGGGGTTGTGGTGCCTTAAAAATACTTCAAACATTTTCCATCTTTTTACTTTTTACTGTTTGGCCTGCGCAATTTTACTTTGAGAAAGTTTGCTGACTCTTTACTGACCAATTTGTATTCCTAAATTATTGCCTCTTAAACTATTAATGGATCTTTTAATCCTGACAGCTTTACAAACCTCACAGAGAAGCACAGAAATGTAAGGTGCAGAGAAAACATGAATATTAGAATACCGCCCGCTTAAAGCTCTATGTTGTGCCGGAAATATACTTTTGACGAGCAAGGAAGAGCCAGAGCAGCAAGCACTCTGGCACTCTGGGGAAATTCCTATCGCACAGGTCACAGGGTCTTCCCCCCCTTGAGTGTTGAAGTACACGAGGATGAGAGGTCTTAGCCCTAGTGACTAGTGATAGACACAACCTAAGTGTAACATTGAATGTTTCCTCTGAACCTTACTTCTCTGTGCTGACCATCACTTGCCCAGCCTTCTATCATACCTCCTAACCCAATGAGTATGGTCCTTGACTATGGATAGAGCTAGACATTTCATTCCCTCGTTTAAGTTGTTGTCAGTTTTAGAATAAAAATGAACTTAACACTGTCAGGTTCTAAAGAATTGATTTTTGTCAAAGGTGCTGAATCAATCTCATAGCATATGACCAAATAACTAAGGGAGGAAATAGAATTATGTGAGTGGCTCATTGAACTGTTCTAGAATAAAAAGTTAACTACGACTGGTCCTTATAGACGGGATGTCTACTTCAATATTCAGAAGTCAAATATGGTATACCCACCATCCAGCCTCTCCGTTTAGGCTTTTCCAGGATCGGACGGTAGATATTAATCTCTAATTTCTATGATCTTATAACATCTTACTGCAGGTTTGCTGTGGCGGGGTATTATAATACACAATTCTGTCACCCATTTAATTGAATTTAATTCGGTTAATTGAACCAGGAATTGTTGCTTTTTCCATGATAGAATCAAGATCTGAGATTTGTATTTAGGATGAGTATCTGTAGCAGTACTTTTGTTTGTATCAAGTTTTATTAACTAAATACAATTTTTACGCAAATTAGAACATAATCAAAATCTTACTTTCATTTAAAACTTTAGTTGTAGTTACAATGACAATGCTACTATTGTACTATTAATTCAAATCAAGATGTTGTATTTTAATTTCTTTTACAAGAAAAAATTTGGAAATTAATACATCCAAATATATGTATGGTCGATAAAAAAATAAAACTTACTAATACCTATTAATAAAACGTGCCTTACAACTTTCTGATAATACATAAATAATAATGATGATGACATCTCCGTTGAACTTATGTAACGAAAACTAATATTTGGTTGTCTAATAATGTTGATAATGATATGTCGTCCCAAAATTCACTATTCAAAATAAAATGTTATAAAGGCTTAAACGAGTGTGTTACTTAAAATCTATTTTTGGAATAATTATAAAAATATATATCTTGGTGAGATTTCCTCTCCCCGCCTTTTTCATCTTTTTCCCATAGACTTCAAACGTATTCGTCATGAATAAAATTGATTCTTGGAAATAGGAAATTTCACTTCAAGCAGAAAACCTACTCTTGTATATCAATTAAATAGGCCTATCATAAAAAATATAAAATCATGTGAACTAGGAAATAAAAAAGTTGAAAACTGCCTAACCTACACTTATTTTAGAACTACTTTTCTTTTCTTTTTATACCACTAACTTGTTACTTAGTTGCTGAAGTTATTCACCAAGTTATTCATGTGGCCGCTTTACTACTCAATATGTATAAAAATACATTTAATCTGAAAATAAATTTTAGAGGTTTGATGTAAGGTTGTGCTTTTGTGAAGATTTTGTTATGATACGTAAATTTTTGGAGGTAGAAAGATAAATAAAATACCTCACTCATATCTCTGTTTGACTTTTTAAACAGATCAAAGTCATTAACTTCAGCAGACATTGCTGTAGTATACCAAGATATTTGGGCTTCTATCCAAATATCTCATTTAGCACATTTACCAATTCCAAAGTTTAATGTTGTTGTAAATACTATTTTATTCTAATCAAAAAGTTATCGCTGAGGAAAAAGTTTAAGTTGAGTTACCGAGGCTTCGTATTTTCACTGGCTTAAGAGTTTTAATTGTTGGTTTTGTATATATTTTTTGTGTCATTTTAGCTATGTGGTTTATTGACTGTTTGTATTTAATAGATTTTTCTGTGGTCCTGGCTAGGATATAAGTGGTGGAGTTTGTTCAAGCATTGGGTAGATAAATTTTACAACAGTGCAACTCATAATTTGAACACGGTTTTGATTTGACTTTTAAAGCAGTTCATAAGTCATACAAAAAACAAAAAAATCTTCTGAATAAAGACATTCTGAATGTTCACTTACATTCAGTTCATTCATTCAGAAGTTTTAGGATTCTGAAGCTAATGGCACAATATTCATCCAAATTAGAATTAATCGTTTTAAAATAACACTCTGTGACTGGCTAATTGTCGATGTAAATCGCCGATCGTTAGTGGTGTGCCGATGTGTGTGTGCTAAAGAGGCACTTTATTGAAATTTTGGCAAAAAAGATAAAGTCTGGAATTGGTGGTAAATATTACTGTAATGCAGATCTTTTTGCCTCTCGCGTATTTATTGTTCAATAAAAGACTCCCCATTACACAACAAACCAACTATCCACATATTCACTCACTTGTATCGTAACCGAGGGCTTGAGTTGCATGATTGTTGGTAAAGATGTTATTGACAAGACATGTCTGTGTTTCTTCCTATCAAATCTGTTACTCTTGATATTGGATTGGTGTATTAGCTGTTTTGGCTATGTGCTGTTCACCAGTTTCCTTGGTATCTTGTGTGATTCGTCATTATCGAAGGATCTGGTTGTTTAATAGTAGAACATGTACTAATAAGGTTAAGGATAAAGTTATTCCAGTAAATTTATCATCTAGTGTTACTATGTCTAGGCCTAGCTAACATATTTGTAGGCAGGATTTGCACAAACAATTCTATGATTTTTGGTAATTAGGACAAAGTGTGCCTGGATGCAGACTAACTTTTATACTTTTGTAAGCAAAAAAAAGGTCTTTAACTGTCAAATTTTCATAAATTCTGCATATTTTATATTAATAAGTATATGTATTGTTTGGAGTAATAATCATTTTAGCAATAGTTTGATAGGTGCAATATCAAATTATTTGTCTATTTTTCAACTTGCTTTTGCTTCATTTTTTTCCTTAAATCAAAGATAATGTAAATTTATGTTTTTTTTTAATTTACTTGATTAGCTAGTTTTTTCCTCTTTGTTGGTGGCTTTGTCTTTCTAGAGACGCTATCCATATACATTTTCCTATTGATCTTCAATGTTATTTGTACCAGCACCAAATATATTTATTATTATTTTGTTTAAGTATAATGTTGTATTTTCAATAAATAAGTTGTTTGGATTTTATGCGTTTCAATATTGAATATACAACTATAATTTATTTATTTATTTATTTCCTCTCAACGGTTACACCATTTTACAGAAAATACATGATATGTTAACATGTTGTTTCTAATAGGCCACAAAATACTAAGCAGCAGTAACTCTAACAATAGATAAGAAACTCTTATACAACAATTAACAAGTAATATAACAATAGCAAAAGCATAAAGAGATTTATACGTAATAACAATAATGAATATCAACAATTTTGACTAGATACAAGTGAGTTTAGTGGGTGAGGGTATAATTGACTGGTTCCCTAACCGATTCCCTAACAATCATAATGTACTGTGATGCATGAAGTACATAGCACACTAACTGTAAGACAGGTGCTTTTGATATAGACAGATATAGAATTTGGAAAAAAACCTCCCTAAACCAAATTATTTTGGTATAAAGTTTATTTCATCCAAATAACCATAAGTGCCTATTCTTGGATTGAAACAGTTGCACATTTTCTCTAGGGCCAAAACAAAAAGTCAATCACTTTGCATTACACTACTTTATCTTAAGTTCACATACTTGTTGGTGATTCTCATTATAAGTTGAAGAGGCTATCAAACAAATTCAATGTCACATTGATTGAAGGATTGATGTACCTATGTGCAAAATAACCTGTCAAGTGGAAATGGATGTATAGCCTTACTTTTTCATAGCAAAAAGTAACCAATATTGTTCTGTTGAGATTATTTCGTGTATTCTCAGTTTGAGCAACTGTTCTTTTTCTTAATTAGGTATTACCATTGACTATATAACCACAACCACAAGTTACCATAACCACAAGTTGTGGTTATATAGTCAATGGTATTACTCAGAAATCTGCCTTCCTTCTGACAGTACAGCCATTGACTTTATGGTTTACAGTCAAGGGTACAACCCACCACATTATGAATCAAGAACTTTCAAAAGGAGACGGGTTCCAGTTAACATGGTAAGGTTTTTAGATTTAATTTGTTTATCATCACAATAAACTATATGTAATATTAATTAGGTCTTACAGTTTTGAGTAATACATGTTCAATTTGACTTGTCAATTCAATGGAAAGAAACCGAATTGACCATGTGTACCCTATGGGTGTTTCCGAATTGTATGGACAAATTTGGTGGACTTGTTCCACAAGCAGACAAGCATAAAATACCGTATAAGTATGGGTCTAAAGTGCCTAGATTTCTGTCTGTCGGCCTGTTTGTGATTTTTATAAATTATTTTTATTTCTTGGGCATTTTTCAAGATAGAAATTTCAAAATTGGTATAAGTTAAATATGTATTTTAGTAGGTAATAAGAGCTTACAAAGTTTCGTTCTAATATCTCATGCCTGTTTCAATATGGCGGCTATTTAAAATCTTAATGCCAAATTTCATGAAAACCGTAAATATTATAAGAAAAATGTTTTTCAGATCAAAAAGATAGACAATTTAAATCCAAATCAAACTAGAGGACCCATGCTGCCACGCAGCGTTAAAACAATTATTATATCCGAGAAATAATCAAATTTATAATTTTTGATTGAGTAATACACAGTATCTTGAGCATAACTGATTCAAACGATCTATATCTTAATTAAATCCTATAATTTACTGATAAGTTTGTGTCTAAAACATATAGAAAAACATGAACAATAACGCTATTGATTTTTAACCATATTTTAATTATAAAATAAATCAAATTATGTGTTCTGGTCGTGTAATACTGTATGTAAATATTTTTAGATGATTGATGGTAAATGTGCGTGCATACCTTCAATTCGAGACCCCAATCATGAAAATCGGTCGGGTAGAAGAGCCAAACGAACTCGGCAAAGAAAACCCAAATTTAACTTCCATAAGAAATACATGGGAAGCGAATTTCGTTTACGTATAAGCCGAATGGGATTATAGATAAATATATGCCGATGCGTGATGGCACATCTGTGCGTGCATACCTTCAATTTGAGACTTCAATCGTGAAAATCGGTCTGGTAGAAGAGCCAAACGAACTCGGCAAAGATAAACCAAATCGAGTAATCCTATAGATAATTATATGCCGATGCTTGATGGCAAATCTGTGCGTGCATAAGTTACCTTCAATTTGAGACCTCAATCATGAAAATCGGTCGGGTAGAAGAGCCAAACGAACTCGGAAAATAAAAACCAAATTTTTTAAATTTATAAGATGAGACCTTGTTTTGTTAAAATCAGATGACAAACAACTGAGTTATCAGTTTTCTTCTACATTCGGGTACACAATTTAATAGAACTTCCATATTGTTTATTATTTGTTATTTTACAGAGCAGTATGGTAATGGTTTTTTGAAATAATAACAATAAAAAATAAATGATTTTTGAAAATTGGTAAATGTCTATTGTTTGAATTTTGCATAAGCAATATAATGTCAAAAAGCACATAATTTTATAGGTTTTTTAATTCTTTACTAACTTTTTTTTTGTAATTCAAACTTACTACGTATCTCTTTTAGTTTTTGTGTAAATAACAAAAAACCTAATTTTCCTATATCAAAAGTATGTTATTTGGGTTTGTGCGTTAATACGGTGTAATTCTAATTCCATTCTGGTTTTTTCTATTAACCTGTACATAATTGACGGACATGAACAGCTGTTCTATCATTAGACCTACTTGCTTGATTGTCTGAGCTTTCTGCTTTGTTTTTCCTTCCTTTGCCTTTGACTGCTCGTACTCTACTAAAAGTCGTCTGCTTTTCATCTTGTCTTGAGCTTTCTCTCTCTTATCGTCCATTGCAGTGGAGGGGGCCAGCTTGCGATTTAGATAGTCTAAGGTTATATAAACGCGAGATTTAAGTCTCAACAATGGCTGCAAGTATTATTCTACTATCTCGCGCTGGACGGAGCCGTGCCGGTCACTTAAAATCTCTGCCAGATCTTATAAAACCTTTGTGTGTACCATTGTCCACCAGTGCTAAAATGAATACCACAGTAAGTAGCCTACGATAACCTTGTAACCTTTGCATTTGTTAAGTTATTATATTAATTAAATACACAATTTATTATAAGTATTATAAACGCTAAGAAAGTATTTAAGGTCAACGAAGATACTGCACTCCATGATTGAATAATTTGCACCGTTTCTGAAAATAACCTATAAAGACCCTGGTATTTCTTGTAGAAGCCATCAGGGCTCTGTTCATGTTGTATGTTTACTTAAATAGCGAAATTCCGTAGGCTTTGATGTTTATTGCCATAGGCTACCTTTGAACAGTATTATAATAATTCATGAATAAGTTTCAGTTCTAATAACTTAAGGGTTGCCATATCTTTGGTAGTGTTCCTACGACAAACATAGGGCTATAATTGTAGGCCATATTTTTTGGCTTGTAGCCCTACCGGTAATTATATCGACCTCCGGACCTCACGCGAAATTAAAATTTTTTTTTTCCAAAATGTTCGAAATTTCACGCTGATTTCAAAAATGATTGTAGTTTTTTTCGGAAACGTCCCGTTTTCCCGGAAAATGGGAAAAACGGGAAAAATATTTTTTTTCTCAAAACCCATGTTGTGGGTACTCATATTGTGCGGAATTTCCTCCTGAACAAGAATATGTAAATTTCATTACGATCGGACCACTATTAAGTAAAATATCACCGAAAAACGGGAAAACGGGGAAATTTTTCTTTGCTCAAAACCCATGTTGTAGGTACTCAAATTGTGCGGAATTTCATCCTAAACAAGAATGTGTAGTTTTTATAACGATCGCTTTTAAGTAAAACATCACCGGACAGGTTACCCAACCTAACATAACCTAACTTAGGTTTAGATTAGGTTAGGTTAGGATAGGTTAGTTTAGGTTAGGTTAGGTTAAGTTAGGTTAGGTTAGGTTAGGTTGGTTTAGGTTAGGTTGAGTTTCGTTAGGTTAGGTTAGGTTAAGTTTGGTTAGGTTAGGTTGGTTTAGGTTAGGTTAGTTTAGGTTAGGTTGAGTTTTGTTAACCTTCGAATCTAATCCTGTTTAGATTAGGTTAGGTTAGGAAAGGTTAGTTTAGGTTTTAACTTAGGTTAGGTTGGTTTAGGTTAGGTTGAGTTTCGTTAGGTTAGGTTAAGTTTGGTTAGGTTAGGTTAAGTTAGGTTAGGTTAGGTTAAGTTTGGTTAGGTTAGGTTAGTTTAGTGTAACCTAACTTAACCTAACCTAACTTAGGAACTTAGGTTAGGTTAGGTAAGTTTATCAATAACATGAGTACATATTGTAAGTAAACTAACCTAAACTAACCTAACCTAACCAAACTTAACCTAACCTAACCTAACTTAACCTAACCTAACCAAACTTAACCTAACCTAACGAAACTCAACCTAACCTAAACCTAAACCTATCCTAACCTAACCTAAGTTCCTAAGTTAGGTTAGGTTAGTTTATTAATAACATGAGTATTGTAAGTAAACTAACCTAAACTAACCTAACCTAACCAAACTAACCTAACGAAACTCAACCTAACCTAACGAAACTCAACCTAACCTAAACCAACCTAACCTAACTTAACTTAACCTAACCTAACCTAACCTAAACTAACCTACCCTAACCTAACCTAACTTAACCTAACCTAACCAAACTTAACCTAACCTAACCTAACGAAACTCAACCTAACCTAAACCAACCTAACCTAACCTAACCTAACTTAACCTAACTTAACCTAACCTAACCTAAACTAACCTATCCTAACCTAACCTAATCTAAACCTAAGTTAGGTTATGTTAGGTTGGGTAACCTGTCCGGTGATGTTTTACTTAAAAGCGATCGTTATAAAAACTACACATTCTTGTTTAGGATGAAATTCCGCACAATTTGAGTACCTACAACATGGGTTTTGAGCAAAGAAAAATTTCCCCGTTTTCCCGTTTTTCGGTGATATTTTACTTAATGGTGGTCCGATCGTAATGAAATTTACATATTCTTGTTCAGGAGGAAATTCCGCACAATTTGAGTACCCACAACATGGGTTTTGAGAGAAAAAATATTTTTCCCGTTTTTCCCATTTTCCGGGAAAACGGGACGTTTCCGAAAAAAACTACAATCATTTTTGAAATCAGCGTGAAATTTCGAACATTTTGGAAAAAAATTTTTTTAATTTCGCGTGAGGTCCGGAGGTCGATATAATTACCGACCTACCATTGTATTTAAATTGGGGTTTCCACAGATTACCTTATAATCACACATGTTAAGTTAAATACCGAATCCATAGGCTACCATATTTTTAACAGTTAACTTATTTTAGTTCAATCAACATACAACCTTACTTTGTAAAGTACTACTTTACTTGTTGTACTTTACATGTAATTACTTTTTGAAATCTGTATCCCGTGGCTTTGCCACAATCAGATGATTTATTTATTTATTTATTCGTACATACCGGTACGGCAATCGCCATTTTACAAAATATGTTTGATTAAGTATACAGAATATTATGATACATTTTTCTTTCAAAGCCGCTTACATGTAATAAGTTAATAACTACTAACTTAGATTCAATAATTTAAGTTGATTCAGTTGCAGGTACAATTAATATGACACACAAATAACACAAAAATAGAGCATCAAAGAGAAAATAGAACAAAGTAAATTTAAGCGCAGTAATAATAGGCTATAGTTCATGCTACATGCTATAAAAATCATTAAATACTACATGCCAAAGTGCATGTAGTATTTATGTAAGTATTTATGAAAGGTACCATTATTGACCGATGGTGATTGTATTTTTAAAACTGCTGGGCAGTCTTTGTTTTTCCAGTCCAATGGGACTGTTTAATGTACGCCTAGAATCTGTTAGATTTGTGCCTATACTGGGATATATGGTAACTTATCAACTAAACTTAGTAATATTCACCGAACTGGTCTAACCTCTATTAATTTGAGAAACTGCTTCAAAGAAATCTAACTACATACTGTAATGTAGGCTAGCAATGAAATGAGCAATGAGAAGATAGTGTTAACAAAACAACACATTTTTTCAAACAACAATCAAGATTAACACAGCAACTGCAAAAGAGAGAGAGGCGGAGTCCTGAGAAAGATTCAAAATAAAAATAGGCCTAGCCTATGTTCATCTGTGATAAGTTTGCTATCTCTCTGCTTAATTTCAGCTAAAAATTGGCTCAGTAGTTTTCATGTGAATCCCAATGCAACAGAAACATCCAAACTTTTTGCATTTAGTATAACATTGTAACGTTGATCTTATAACATTGTAAGATTTGATGTGTAACCTATTGAGTTTTATTTTCAAATTTTAGGAAGGCTACAGAGTTGAAGCTGACACTTTCGGAGAGCTCAAAGTGCCCAATGACAAATATTATGGAGCTCAAACCGTCAGATCGGTCATGAACTTTCCCATTGGTGGGGAAACTGAACGGATGCCTGTGAGTAAACATTCTTATTTTGATAGTGAAAAAATACCACTAACTTAAATAATAAATAATATGAGTTTTAGGTTTGGAATTAAATCTGTCCCTCTAAAATGTACCACTTTGTGATTCGAGATATTTAGTAGGCTGGTCCCGCATGCCACCGGAAATGTTGTTGGTGAAACAAAAACAAGCTTGCAGCGATATGAATCCCTCTTCCCTGTAGGCCTACTCTGCACTATACTTAGTATAGTTTATCCTACTGTACCTAGTATGTTTCTGCCGCAATTGTGTAGCCTTTTTTTTTCTAAATCACATGTCATGTTTGGTACTTTTTATCATTCATGTTATGCACAGTCATGTTATTATGTTTTTATATAGTCCCAAATAAATATTACTGCGATTTGGTTTGAGGGCTATATTCAAGAGTACAAAAACATTTAGGGACGGGTTTGATTCTCAACGAAAATTTTAATGGGCTTGGATCGCTTTTCCTTTAGGCCTAGAGTGTTTGAATTTACTTCATTAAAATAATATACAAAATCAATACTGCATTAGAAAATAGTGGTACATTAATGTCGGTACCTAGTCTAACACCCTCCTCGCCTTCTACCCGTCGGCTTATCGAGGAACAACTGTGGGCCTATTTTATTTCCATGTAATTTTTTACTTTCTCCCTCTATAGCATAGTAGGCTACCTATATGGAGAAAGTATTGTTAAATAACTTCTTGATCAGCATTGTACGTGTTCATTCGCCTATTGGGTCTGATGATGATTGGAGTGTCCAATCGAAATCGATCACCACTTACCATCTTTTTTGCATATTTACCGTCTTGTGAGTAACAGTATAAGCGTAAATATATGTTTTAAGTGTTAATAGACGTTTCTTTTATTTACTTTCCGTAAAGTATTGTTTTCATCAAAATTGTCAAGTTTTGAGTTTTGAGTGGATATATGTTTTGTTTGGGTCTTTGGTTTTCGAAGTGATGTCTGTCCGTGTGTGTGTGTTTTTCTGTATGTGTGGATGTGTACAGACAGAGTTACAGACCATGCCTGTAGTTCGCTTTTGATGAAATTAGGTCTGTAGGTACTAATACATGTACCTTCTGATGTAACAATTTTTTTTAAATTTTGATTTTTAATGATGATTTTTCTATAATAACCCATAAAATAAGGATTTTTATTAAGTTTAGTTAGGTATGTTCTAGCCATATTCTGAACAATCCCTATGGTACTAATCCCATTTCCAAAAAAATTACGGTTCAAAAGTTTTTGTAACTTTTGTTACTATCCCATAAAAACCCATAAAATAACAAAAGATTTAGGAAAAAAGTGGGTTTTGATTAAAATTAATGTGCAAAATAGTGCAAACCCCCCATTGCTGTAACAATTACAGCGACTTAGTGATTTTCCTTATAAAATACCATAGTTCCTCCATCGCTTACCCATGATAATGGTTGTTGACAAGCTTATGGGAGAAAGTATGTGTCAGATTGCTGATACTGTTTATCTTAACTTAACTTAGTTAAGAACCCTAAAATAGTACCATGTAGCTTACAAGATTACTGTTTTTTTTTATTTGTTGTCATTTATTATTCTCTTCTAGATGTCTACTTTAGGTTTGTGCTTTATGTTGTGTGTCTATCTACGCCATTGACGTTTTATTAATGTTTTTTGTATGGCTAAATGTATACATTTTAGTTAAGTAACTTAGTGTATAGGTTTAAAATTTGAATAAAGTGTTGATTAATTTATGTTGGCCCTACTGTAGCAGGAACTATTCGCCAAATTCTATAGACCTAAAATATTGTTAAATGGGCATTTTTATTTAGTTTAGTGTTTGAATCAGTCAGGCAGTCGTTGGTGTCAGGTGGAACACTTTCACTGGTTTAACAGGTCAACAAACTCTAACTCTCGCTTGCCTTGATGCAGCCAGAACGCTGAGCTACTTTCTAGTACTTTGTAACCTATTACATCAGGAGGAACTGATTGGTTACTCTAGTCACACCCCTCTTTGTTCTTGCTTTAAGTAATACTTTTGTGACAAATTGAATGTAACATATTGTTAAAAGCCTACATATTTTTTGAATTCTGACAAGGTGAAGACTGTAAAATTAATGCTACAATTCAGTAATATATCTGTTATTGATCTATTTATACATACATTTTCAAATCATGTTAATAAATTATTCAGAAAATATACTCACTGGTTTCAACACTGTTGTAACAATAAGTTAACTTACTATCCATCCAAACAAATTTTATTCTAAATACAATAATACAATTTAGCCTGATATAAGAAAAATGCAGCAATTATTTGTTCTAACAACCCCGCTAAAACTTATCAGTCCCATCTTTCTAGTACTTTGTAACCTATTACATCAGGAGTAACTGATTGGTTACTCTAGTCACACCCCTCTTTGTTCTTGCTTTAAGTAATACTTTAGTGACAAATTGAATGTAACATATTGTTAAAAGCCTACATATTTTTTAAATTCTGACAAGGTGAAGACTGTAAAATTAATGCTACAATTCAGTAATATTTCTGTTATTGAACTATTTATACATACATTTTCAAATCATGTTAATAAATTATTCAGAAAATATACTCACTGGTTTCAACACTGTTGTAACATTAAGTTAACTTACTATCCATCCAAACAAATTTTATTCTAAATACAATAATACAATTTAGCCTGATATAAGAAAAATGCAGCAATTATTTGTTCTAACAACCCCGCTAAAACTTATCAGTCCCATCAACTTAAATGGTAGTTTGTTCACAATGAAACAGCTTTTAAACTTACTGTAAATAGTATTTTTAATACGAGCAAAGTCTGTTTGTCTCTCTGTCTGTCTGTCTGTATGTCTGTAATAAATCTCAAAATCCAGCTGAAGGATTATAAAATATTATAGGCCTATATAATTCATAAATTATAAAATGTCTGTATACAATATTGTTTTAACGATTAAACCTAATCAAATACAACCAAGCAGGGCTCGGTCCCCCGGTACTGTGTTTATAACAAGCCGTCCAAAGTATACTAGCAAATTATTAAATACAGTACAAAGTGATAAACATCAGTCTGGTACTTGAAGAGTTACTTAGGGGAAAATAGAGCAAGTCAGTGTTGATGAGTGATGAGCGTTTCATGTTGGTGCCGTTTGAGTGCACTGGCGTCCACTCAATGTTTCACTCTTATTTAAGGGTAGATTTTACAATTTGTATGCACTCTTTTTTATAGTTTACATAATTTAGACAGCTGTATTTGTTTAATAAATTGAAATTCCACTGGAACATAAATAATAAAAGCCAAATTTAACTGTAAAAAACACGAGTTTCCTCTATATCGCGTTTACAATTGAAATAAACTAGGCCTACCGAGCCATGGCTTGGTCCCACGGTACTATTGAACCTATTTTAGTTAACTTGTTGAACATCTGATGTAAATAACACTTTACCGCCCGAAATGTGTTTGAAACTATATTGGTTTTTGTGCAGTACCCTGTAATCACTGCAATGGGAACTCTCAAGAAAGCTGCTGCACTCGTCAACAAGGAGTATGGACTGGACCCTAAGATAGCCGATGCTATCGCAAAGGCTGCGGACGAGGTCATCAGTGGCAAACTGTACGACGAACACTTTCCTCTAGTCATCTGGCAGACCGGGTCCGGTACTCAGACCAACATGAACACAAACGAGGTAAAGTGTCACGGTGAAAAATGTTTCAGTTCTGAAAGTAATAATAAAGTCCCCTTAATTCTAACATAACAATCCTGAAAGATTATGCCATACGTTTTTTGTGTAGCCTATAATGAAAAAATCAGATTTTTTTGGTTTTTATCGGTTTTATTGAAAAATTTTTATTAAAACTAACAATTAAAAAAAAATTAAAAAAAAAAAAACACTTTGACTTATGTTTATATATTAGTCCCAAAATACCAAATTTCATCAAAATCTGATCCCAGGTGTGGTATGCAACTACACACATCAGCACATAGTATGTACACATCAGTACACACAAACATCTCTTCAAAAAGGACTTTTTTGATTCACAGGGACCAAAAAACTGACATTTCCACCCAAAACTCAAAAGTTTTGACAATAACAATATTTCTTCTATAGGCCTACACTATGTTATAGAGAGAGAAAGTAAAAACACACACCATTTTAACCTTTATATTTATACCCTCTTTTTAAATTCTCAGTCAATAAAATACTTAGTCAATAAATTTTATTTATGAACATTCCAAAACAGTTTTGTTGCATATGACACATTTTCTCTCAGGTAATCAGCAACAGGGCCATAGAGCTGCTTGGAGGTAAGCTAGGCTCCAAGACCCCTGTGCATCCTAACGACCACGTTAACAAAAGTCAGAGCTCTAACGACACGTTTCCAACTGCAATGCACATTGCCGTGGCCGTCGAGATCAACCGGCTGCTGCTGCCGAACCTGCAGAAACTTCACGACGCACTCGACGTGAAGGCAAAAGCATTCAAGGACATTATCAAGATAGGCCGCACACACACACAGGTAAGGAATAATCCGGAAGTGTGAGTCTTTAATTTTGTGGTAGATTTTAGCCCGTTTACCTTAAAAAAATGAAGTACATAACATTAGAATTGTTAAACCCCATTCAACCACACACCATTTAAACCAAAACCCAGGTTAACCAAAACCACGGTGAAAATACCAGATAATTATCTAGGCAATGGGGACTTTTAGCTGTTCCCTGGCGCTGGTACTTGAGGCGGTTTTACTAATGGAATATAATAGAGTAGACGACACCGTAATCCGTCACCGTAATCAGATTTACTGCATTGCAGCTTAACCAAGACCTGTTCCAGGAAAAATAATTCAAATTTAATGCAGACAGACGGTCTTAGTTAGCAACACAAGTCAAGTCAATGTTTTTAAACTGCAAGTCAATGATTTTGAAACTGCAGGGTCTTTTCCTCAAAAGGAAGGGCAGTAGGATGTTAACAACCCATAAATAACTGTATGTAGCCAGGGCCCCCTTCTCAAGGTCATAGATCCTCCCCTCTTACAACTCCCTTTTGCAATACAATGCTCCAATTGCAGACAAAATTGTGTAACAAAACAAGAAAGTAGAGTCAAAAATAAAATATATCTCTGTTCAAAAGCAGATTATTTTCAAATAAATTAATTCACGGTAGTTTGTATCTTGTAAATATTGTATTTGAACTTAAAGACCTTGTCACATCTTCTTTGTATATTTATGTGTGTCATTTGGTTCAAATACATATATGTTATTCATTGCGATTTCTGTCAAATATAACATTCAGTTAAGTTTTAATGCAATATTAAATATGTTAATTATTACTATGATTTAATATTGTCTTCTATTTTAATTCTCTTTCCCATTCAATTGTATTTTGCGGACTAACCGTGATTTTGCGTATCCTGGAAGCCTTAACCCTACTTTATCCTGGTTAATCGGGAGTTCAGTGTAGGCTACTTGATTTTGAGATGACGGTAATTAAAATATGTTTTGGCCAAATCCATTAAAAGCTTTTTATACTTAGAATTCCTAGTGACTCTAAATTATTTAGAAAGAATTTGAACCCTTTTTAGTAAATTGAATCCCTGGCATTCCCATAAGAACCTACTTGTCTACTTCCTCTCTTACTTTAAAGCCAATATTGTCCAACCCGATCTCTTCTCCCTCAATACCTTGAAAGTTAATATTAAACTTTCAATTGCAATGTGATTCTCGTGTGTAGGATGCCACTCCGCTCACGTTGGGTCAGGAGTTCAGTGGATACGTGACTCAGATTGCGTTTGGTATCGAGAGAGTCAAAGACACACTTCCTAGGCTGTACAACCTAGCATTAGGTGGCACTGCAGTCGGTACCGGCCTCAACACTCGCATCGGCTTTGCTGAGAAGTGTGCTGCAAAGATCAGCGAACTCACCAGTGAGTGTACAGTAAGCAACGAGTTCTTGGTTAAATTGCCAAATCCTTTCTAATTGTGCTCAATTTCTTATTCTTGTATGCTATTTGCCTCTCATAGATATCTGCTGTCAAATAACAATTCTCTGAACTTTTTCTTCTATAATACTTGATGAGTTAACAAATGTTACAGGTAAAATCTTCCTAGTGGAGAATTTCAAATTTGATATTTATGAAGAAACAGTATTTCACTGCACCATTATCTGTTGCCTTAATTGAACTATTTGAAACTATTGAAGTATTAAGACTGAATTGTAGGTCTAAATTACCATGGGGTTGGGATGAATACTTCAAAATGCTGTACTAAATAAAACTTTCAAACTTGCCTTTATTGAGAGATAAAATATTAAATATTTTGCCTATTTGATAAAAGGCTAGCAAAAGTTTAATGTAGTACTTTCTCCTGAATCAATTATCTCCTTTTCAGATACTAGGCCTATTCAAGGTTTTGGGGAGATAACTAGCCTATAGGCCTACATAATTTGAGCCACTCAAGAATTACTTTTTATATATTTTTCTTGACAAAGGTGAATGTCTTGGGATTGAACTGAACTTAGCAAAGCAAAAACAGAAATTCCTTATTTGGTTATGGCTACTATCATAATATTGTGCTTCAAATGTTTTTACAGTTCTTAATCAGCCATGCAAAAACGTACAATGGTGATTCTAATTGTTAAGTCTGTTTGAGGATGACTTGAGGGGGAAACTGCCCCGTCATACACTTGTTGATCAACTACTCCAAAGGATATCTCTTTCAGAACAATGAATGAATTACGTATCTGAAAAAATGTGTTGGTGTTATTGAGAATAGTGTGAAGTCATTCAACCACTGTCCTACATTACAGGTTTGCCGTTCAAGTCCGCACCCAACAAGTTTGAAGCCCTGGCGGCCCACGATGCCATGGTGGAGGTGTCTGGCGCTCTAAATGTGGTCGCAGTCAGTCTCATGAAGATTGCCAATGACATTAGGTTCCTGGCCTCGGGACCGAGGTGTGGACTGGGCGAGCTGTCTCTCCCAGAGAACGAACCAGGCAGCAGCATAATGCCAGGTGTGTTGTGATTTAAGTTTCATCTGTATTGGTGTGTTATTTAATGTTGTATAGATAATTCAAAAGGTGTCCTGATTGCCTAGTGGTAAACATCTCAGATTTCACTACAGGAGGGACAGGTTTAATCCCCGCATTTATTTGAACTGTTTTGTTTTAAAAGTGTTTGGGCTGACTACTTGAACTGGTGTAGACACTAACAAAAATAGTTCAGTAAGTAATTCGGCAAGTTCAGCAGTTCAGTCCGAATTAATATTAGAGTAGGCCTGCCGGTAGTTGAAAGTACTGTATGTTAACCAGAAAGTTGCCAGTTGATTTTTTGGAAAATATGTTACTTTTATGTTTTTCTAGCTGAACTCATCTACTCATGATCATTGGATCTGATAAATGATCCTTTCTGAAGATACGTTAGTCAACAATCAGTAAACACTAATTGAAGGAATTTCACCCCTTTTCACACGCATATGTAGCTTAAAAGTATACAATATTGTGTCACATAAACTTTTGTTAGATTTTGTCCATTTCTAGAGACGCTCTCAGTAGCGACCAGATTCTTTTCATTTGCCTTTCCAGCCCCATTTATTATCATAAATCGACTTAGCGAGATTTTTCTTTAATAATCATACATCCTTTAGGAGTTAAATTAATTGAAACTAGAGAAGGTAAAGTTACTCAATTTTTTAAGAGGTTTCTCTTGAAGAATATATTTAGGATATCGTATCAGCTAACATCTTTCATACTCTTGCAGTTAAAACATCAACTCTAGCTCTCTATTCAAAGTTAGCCTTTTGGATCTTGTGTCTACCCGGGATTGCAATACTGATAAATGCAGAATGACTACTGGTCACGTAAATCACCTGTGACAAAAAGTTCATTGATTTTACAAGGAGGTCACAGAAGTCACTGTAAAGTAACATATTTTTAGTTAAAGATCTCAAAAGTCGCAGAAGAAATCAAGCCTAACCAATTAAAGTTCCCCAGACCTGTCTTTTTTTTCTATGCCTGTGCTATTTTTAACTAAGTCAACCTTCAAATCAAATGCTTTTAAGGAAAGCGGTAGAAACCCGTTTTGTGGTTCTGCCGGGAATTGAACCCGTCCCTCCCGCACTGAAGTCTTGAACGCTAATCACTAGGCAAGCAACATATGTAATTTTTGTTATACATTGTGCTTGCTACAGACAGTGATTTTATTTTGTAATGAAGAATTAGTGAGAATTTAGATATTTTGGGAGTAGGCAACCATCTCAAATCGTTACTGCACTAAATATTGTATGCTCTAACTAAATAACTCATGTTCAAGTCTCTGACAAATATTGTCTTATTGTACCAAAGGTTGTGCATTTTAACATCAACCACCTCCCCTTAAAGTCACTGAAATTTAGCTTGATTAATTACCATTTCAGGGTGACTATCAATTATTGGTAGACATCATGAAATGTTTTTATTATTTAGCTAATTCTGAGCTTCAGCCTCACAGAAACACCATAAAGTAAAAGTGGTAATTTTGCAGGGAAAGTGAACCCCACACAATGTGAGGCTATCACGATGGTAGCAGCTCAAGTGATGGGCAACCATGTAGCAGTAACAGTCGGAGGTAGCAACGGTCACTTTGAGCTCAACGTGTTCAAGCCGATGATCGTCTCCAACGTGCTGCGCTCTGTGAGGCTCATTGCTGACAGTTCACTCGCTTTCACCAACAACTGTGTCACCGGCATCGAGGCTAACACTGACAGAATCAACAAACTGCTGCATGAATCTCTGATGTTGGTTACTGCACTCAACCCACACATAGGCTACGATAAGGTAAGAAATGCTTCTTGGATAGGGTGTTGTCTTAAAAGCCTTACTTGACACCTTGACAGCTAATAAAATAAAAATCAAATATGCATACCTCAAATTTTTTGGTAATGAAATTTATATTGAATGTCAGCTATACATGATTTGTCAGCTTAACAAAAAAAAGTACCTATATCTAAACATAAACTTAGCAGGATGATCGAATTGTGAGATGCCGGTCACCCATAAGCATCGAGGAGGTTTGGAGGTTTCTGCCATGAGGGATGCCAGTGCTCCTTGTGCACTGAAGTCTTTCATTAATTCATTCTCTAATTGACGTTTCAAATCACTCTTTTAACTATTATATGCCAAAATTACATAAATTAACTACTATAAAAAAAACTTAACTTTGTCCCCTAAACACATGTAAAATGACAGACAACAGATGATGCTAGCGTACAAAATCCATTAGTGATTTGGCGGGATTTGAACCCAGGACCTCAGGGACCTAAGTTCCACGCTCTACCACTAGACCAGCTTGCTCCCCAAATATATATATATATACACACCAAGCCTATTATGCATTGAGCTAGCTGCTTGGACAGGTTTATCTTTCTTAGGTTAAGTTTGGGGGGAGTTTTGAGTTGGTTATTATACTGGAATGCCGATTCCCACCTTCTTAACTTGGAAGGGTTGCATTCATCCTTCGGGAGTGATTTAATGACTGGGTTGAGGTTGCCTGTATGGGTTTGGATTAACAGCGATGTTTTTTATTAACTGAGACCTTTAATTCGTTACCAAACTCAAACTATGCCGCTATTTGAGAATTTTGCCTGACTCCTCGTGGGCTGACCCCCTTAAGGGATAAACAAATTATGGATATTAATTATTATTGTATACTAAGTCTCATTACTTTATCTATAATGGTAAAAAATACACTACACCATTCCAGGACTTTTCAATCACACTGTATATTAACTAATTGCCCCACTTTACCCCTCATATTATGTTTTACTGTGATGATTTAAAAAATCCACTTGAAGGTGGAGACCATAAAGATTTGATACTCTTTGATAATACTTAGGTATTAATCACTAACCTAGACCTACAGGCATAATTTTTTGTTGAAAGGATACTGGTATTACCTTTACTGACAAGTAGGCTACCTTTTATAAGACAGATGTGGAAAAATTCCATTTTAACTTTTCTAATCCCCCTGCTTCTCATTTTGTCCAAATATATTCCTAGATTTCTTATTTATCTTGTACCATTTTGTTAGAGGTCAATTCTACTTCTGATTTGCTTGAAGATTACTGCATGTGTCTTCAAAATAAGCTTTGGTTGACATGTTGGGACACTTGAGTCCGTATGGGTAACTGAACTGGAGACAATTTCACATTATGTTTGTCTTTAGAAGAGAAATGACAACATCATGTAAATAACGAAACGTACCTACATTTGCTTCTGCTACAGCATTTTTTATTATTCTTTGAATATTACAAGTTTTCAATCACTCCTTAATATTGAGAGTTGATTTTTTTGAAAGACTTAAGTTAAAGTGTTTAAATGAACTAAAAAACCACAAGGACCAAGTTTCTTTTAGGATTTTTTGTGGGTATAGCAAGCTTACCTGAGTGGGGAAGAGCCCAGACTGGGTACAAGAAACAAAAGACTTAACACTTTACACAAAACCACTTAACACAGTAAAATTATTACCATTCTGACTATTTACAAATTATTTTCAATAAAATTTAAAGACCTGTTTTATTTGTTACAGGCGGCCAAAATCGCCAAGACGGCTCACAAAGAAGGTGCCACCCTGAAGCAGACAGCCCTAAAGCTAGGTTATCTCACCGAGGCAGATTTTGACAAGTGGGTGAGACCTGAAGACATGCTAGGACCTAAGTAAGACAAACGCCAGTATTGAATAAGTGTTCACACAAATCTCCTTGTTAACCTGAAAACCCCTACTCATGTATATAATTCACTTGGTTAACTTTTTGTAAATAAAGTAGCCTAAACTGTAAATAAAGAATTGTATCTTTAAAACCTTTGTGATAACTTTGGTTAGAAAATATATTAAATTTATACAGGGTGAGTTTTAAATGCCCCCCCCCCAACTTTTTTCTACATTTTTTCAAATATCAATCCCAGACCACTTCCAAACATTGTAGGGTAGTAAGTACTTCATTTTGACAAGGTGGTCATTTCTGGCCGCCATCTTGGATCCGCCATATTGGATGCAAAATATTTTTTTTCAAATGTAAAGGTGGGGTTGTGACCCATTATTTTGAACTAGATTTTTACCCTGATTACAATGCCACAAACCGTTTCAAAAAATCTTGATTCATTCCAAAGTTATGAGGGCTTTTTAAAACTTTATTTTTAGCCCATTTTAACATTGTGCATTTACAAACTAAGGACCATAATCTCAAAATAGTGCTAGATAAAGATAAGTATACACTACCAGTCATTGTCGACTTATTTTCACTTGGTTATGACTGATGTATTTTTTTCGGCCGCCATCTTGGATCCACCATTTTGAAACATGATAAATTATTTTAAATATGAAGGGGGTGTTGTGACCCATCATTTCGGATTACTTTTTTAAGCTGAACTCAATTCCATGATCCGTTTTTCATTTTAATATTTTGATTTTGAAATATTCACATTGTTAACCAAAAAAATGCAATATCTCATAAATAAAACTTGATAACAAAAAAATGATTGCGGCATTGAGTTAAGCTTAAAAAAGTAGTTCGAAATGATGGGTCACAACACACCCTTCATTTAAAAAATTATATATCACATTTTCAAAATGGCGGATCCAAGATGGCGGCCGAAAAAATACATCAGTCATAACAAAGAGAAAATAGGTTGACAATGACTGGTGGTGTATACTTATCTTTATCTAGCACTATTTTGAGATTATGGCCTTAGTTTGTAAATGCACAATGTTAAAATGGGCTGAAAATAAAGTTTTAAAAAGCCCTCATAACTTTGGAATGAATCAAGATTTTTTAAAACGCTTTGTGGCATTGTAATCAGGGTAAAAATCTAGTTCAAAATAATGGGTCCCAATCCCACCTTTACATTTGAAAAAAATATTTTGCATCCAATATGGCGGATCCAAGATGGCGGCCGGAAATGACCACCTTGTCAAAATGAAGTACTTACTACTCAACAATGTTTGGAAGTGGTCTGGGATAGATATTAAAAAAAATGTAGAAAAAAGTTGGGGGGGGGGGACAATTAAAACTCACCCTGTATGTTGACACAGAGTGAAAATGTTGAACACTGTGTGTGAATGTTGCCCTGTCCGAGTGTGCAGAGTGTGTTTGAAGTGTGGCCTGACAGGCCACACCATATACATGAACTCGGACAGAAAAGCAGAACTATTGGCACTTGACAGTTTTGACTTTACCTCTAAGGCAGTATGGGACTGTCATCAGGCGATCAAAGCCCTGGGATAGAACAACAAGGTTATCCCTAGTTGGGTTCCAGGACACAAAGGTATTGCTGGCAATGAGGGAGCTGACAAGTGGGCAAACAAAGGAGCTGAAAGCCCGCTCATGGGTCCAGAGCCGACGTGTGGTATTGCTTACAACACAGCACGTAGAGCTGTTCCCCAGTGGATGTGCATAGAACATCGAAGGAGCTGGAAAAGAACAGAAGGCAACGTACAATCAAAGAGAATGCTGCTGATCTCTACTGGTGCGATAGCGGCAGATGCCCTTGTGCTGAATAGGTAGAACCAGGAAGTGAACTCTGCGGAAGGTGGTTGGCTTAATCAGCGACCATTGGGTATTCTGCGGACACCTGTCTATACCGGGTGCGGCAAAAGTCAGCGTACCGCTGCAGACCGTTGAGCGTCAATATATACATTAACTCACTGATCAGGTATACAATAGATTAGGCACTTGAGATTTTTTGTGGAGGTCCGTCTAGGTCCCAAACCACCAGGAAAATCCCAAAAAGTTACATTTTCAAAATGCAACCCCCCAAAAATTCCATTAAAACCCCCGTTTTTTGGGAAAAACACGTTTTTTTTTAAACGGCTGTAGCTCGAAAACGGTAAGAGCTAGAAGGGATTTGAGGAAAATCGTAGGTTCGGAATTAAATTTTCTACAAGACACTTCTTAGCGTTTTACGAAAATCTAACTCCTTCAACTTCAAAAAGTGGCCTACTTCCGAAAATTGTGAAAACATTTAAAAGAATTGATAACGGAACATTTTGATGTTTTATTCACACCACAACTATGCAACAAAATAAGTCAGTGTTGAAAAGGTGCTACAAGTGTATAGACAATGATGGTGGTCACATTGAGCAGCTTCTCTAACAGGTACATTAAAATTATACTTTTATAGTTATGTTTAATGCTAGCTACAGTTTAACTGCTTTTTCGGTATACTGACTTTTGCCGCACCCGGTATATCTACATATCTAGACAAGATAAGAATTGAAGTTGAAAGCCTCTTATGTAGGAAATGTGGAGAGGAGGAGTCGACAGCCTTCCATGTGATATTTATATTTTGGCCTATCGACTGGAGACCAAAGGGTTACCATAGTCAAAAGGATCTCAGCTGCGATGCAATCCCACTAGTAAGCCTGGCCCTCTGTAAAAAAAACATAACCTGATTTTAGATTGATTGTGATCTCGTCTGTCTTCAGTTCTGGATTATGAAAATGAAGAGGATGAGTTTTGGAACAATTTAGATGTAGTCTGTTTTGTGCGAACCAAGTTATCATGGAATCTAAATCCCTAGATGCTATGTTAGTGGCAGAAAAAAGAATGTGCTTTTACTAGCATTGTTGTTTCATTAGCAAATTGAATAATTTTTGAAAAAAGTGAAAAAGGCAAGTCATTGATGTAGAGGATACATAGAAGAAGCCCTAATTTTGATCCCCGTGGAACACCATCGGGATACTGAGCCCCATTCAGACAAATATCTGATATCGGATTTATCTTGGATGACAACCTGCTGAAATCTGTTAGTGAGATAACTAGAAAACCAAGAAAATTTTGTTTCTTCTCCCTTCGAAAACTAAATTGATTCTTATTCAATAAATTGTTTGATTCAAGAAATGGAGCGATCTGTGTGTGACAGAACAACCTCCTCAAATAATTTTGAAGACACAGGTAAGAGAGCCACTGGTCGGTAGTTTAAAATTTCTCCCTGTTTAAATTAGGGATTATGTTCACAATGTCCAACGTTTATAATTCAGACCATAATATCCAAAAATATTAGATCACAAGGTCCAAAAGTACAGCTATAACCAGAAGTACAATTTTACATTGTGAAGTAAATAAAAAAAAAACTTAACTTATGAAAGAGACTGTCCTTTGGACTTTGGATAGTTTGTTGCTACTTCACCTAAGATCATTTGAGAAATATGTTTGTAAAATTTTATAACTTACAACTTTCTGTTACTTTTTTCAGAGAATAGGTACTGCTAGCATAAGTACTATTTCAGGTCCAAGTAGACAGACAAATATTACACATTTTTAGCAATATTGAATGTATTGAACAAAATTTATGTATCTCTTTAATCATTATTATCATCAGTGGAAGGATAATCAATAAAAGTGTTGTGCACATATTATCTCATAATATTTATTTGTTTTAGGTGGTAAAAGATTATTACAAACTGTAAGGCCCTTACTTCTATGTCGTCAATTTATCCTAGAATCATCTAAAATTTTCAAAATGTTTTAATAAACCTTCCTGCAATTAATTATTATAGTGACTGTAGGAAAAAAATAATGTGTAACACGAGCGCAAATGGCCTTTGCTCACTAGTTACACAAATAACTATTTCTTAGTTCACAGATTTTATTGTTTTCATAGTGTAAAGGAAAAATCGAATAACCAACCTGTTTATTGTTATTTAAATAGTCTACGGTATAAGTTTTTCTTTTGAAAAAATACGTCCATTGATAAAATTTATGAAAATTCAGCAAAGAAACTAAGTACCAATACTACTTATTATTAAAAAAAAAATTTTTTTACATAATTCATTGTTGTTAATCATATTATTATTTAGAAATATTTTTTCACGTTATTGTAAATTAATTGTATCTTGTCTAACTTAGTATTTTGACAACATGTAGCTTACCTAATTGTTAACAGTATTTATTATGCTTGAAATCGTACATAATTGTCATATAATTGTAAATTGTAAATCCTAAAATTTATTTGAATACTTTATTGTAACAAAAGTAGTAAATCAAAAACATATTTTATGCTCGAAACTTAGGAAAGAAAAAACCTAGAAGCTTTTAATACATTAAGACCAGATGTTACGGATGAACAGTAATCAAGGCTAATACCATTCTTTCTGTGGATTATCTCTTTCTTACTTTAGAAATAGTTCCCAATTTTTATCTTTGTCTACCTACAAAATTAAACAAACTAGACAATCTACAAATTAAACAGTTTAAATATAAATCATTTGTTTTATTTTTTAGAACAAATGTATTGAACCGACTATCCAATAACGTTTCGGATAAGATTTATGAATGGATGAATTGGATTCTTAGAGGAATGTTGTTCATGGTTTGAATACTAATTCCTAATTATTACATTGTACATTATCTTCAATTTAAAATTATCGTCAAGTATATTCCTGTAATATACATTATAATTCTCTGAGAATAGTTTGTTGTGCCCTAGTCTGCAATTTCTGTCCATTTTGAGGTGAAGAGAATATCGCGAGGCATTTCTTTAAGAGAGATCATCAATAAAGAGAACACTCTTTCTGTCTATAGAAAAAGCAACAAGTTTCCGCACAACTAGTGGAAAACCTGGTTTTCAACTTTGGTGTAAACGCGGTTTAAGACATTTTTTTACGTAGTTGGTGGACGGTTAGTTTCTGTTGGGATACACCGAGTCAGTTGTACAAATAAATAGAACAATTTTAAGTTATTAGTGATGGGCCGGACAGGAGTCCAATGAGTCTTAAGTATCACGCTCTACCAGTAAACAAACATGATTCACTACTTTTCACATTATACTGAGGAGATATTACTCTAGAAAAACTGTATATTCAAATCCAGGGATGTTTGAAATAAATCTTAAACACATTTAA